GACGGTCAATTTGAGGCTTTATTATTGTCACACACAAAAAACACGGCACACATCATTCAGCTCCCACGAGTCTCTCGCCACAAAACTATTTGATTTTATTTGTTTATAGGTACTGCTGCCTGGGCGTAATAAGACAACAGATTTGGGCACCAAATCTCTGGCAGGACTCCCGACCACCGAGAAATAAACGGGATAAAAGAAACCCCCCACGGCCGCTAATGTTTGGAGCGGGCGCAACGAACCTGCCTCGACGATTCAAACGGTTATTCGCGCTCTTTTCCTAGGGATGTTGGACAAATATATACATATATATAAATAATATATATATATACGTATATCGGCCAAGTCAAGACAAAATTCCGGTATTTCGATGTCCGCGACGGCCGTGAGAAAACTAACGGTTTTCTTGTCTTTGGGCCGGCGACTTTTGGCTTTTGGTTACAAACAACAGAGAGAGAGAGAGAGATTGCGAGAGAGCGCGAGAAAGCGGAACGGTGGTATTTAACAGCGCTCTCTTCGTGCGAAAATCTTGAACTTTTAGGTTTTCTGCTAAATGGAATTAATACGTTTTTTAAAATTAAATAAAAAATAATATTTATGCTCGTCTCGAATCGCGTTAACTTGAATAATGTTTTGCTAATAGCCAGGGAGCGAGAGCATTTCTCCCACCTCGCTGTGCCAACACACCTTGCAGTCGTTTACAAACAACATTGCTAGAGCGTCGCATGTTAACACTTAACATAACAGCGCAATAGATGAATGAAATGTTATTTGATATCTGGTACTAACGAAGTTATTAATTTGAGCCCCATAAAAAATCTGGTTCTTACAAGTTTAACAGTTTATAATTTTAACAGACTTTGGTTCATTGAATCTTTTCATCATCAACTGTTCCAAAGTTTCATTCGTTCCGCTTTCTTGCGCTCTCGCTCTCTCTCTCTCTCTCTTGACTACTTGAGTCGGCGCATGTTAAGGGCGTTTGGCTACAAAAACATTAATTTTGGACACAACAAATTAAATTCAAACCAAAACACATTAAAGAAAACCACTAGTGGATAATTTTTGAATTTTTAAATTAGTATCATGTTAGTTCCAATTGCAACGCAGTTTTTATCAACCAACACGCTCTCTCTCACTCTCGATCAATGACACGCTCTCTCTGTTTTTGCCGGCGATGCTTATGTATTTGTTTATTTATAATTTACGAATTGGTTAATTTTGCAAACATACATATGAGTGTAGTGTGTGCTAGTATATGTATATACACTATTTAATTACACTGGTGAACGACTTGGCTTGAATTATTTATTCAATTATTGAATTATTCTTTCACAGCAACAAAAACACACGCTCACCTCACACGCTCATGCATACACTGTTCTGTTTCGAACAAGCGGCAAATAAATGCTAATTTATCTTTCCTTATGCGGCACTACTTTCTTTCTACGTACTTTTGATTTGTTTACTATAAATAATAATAATAGTAATTTATGCACTTTAAGCCCCCTCTTTTTAAACAGTTCAACGACTTGAGGTAAATGGCGGAAAATAATAGTGTTTATATGCTGTTTTCGTAGAACCATCTTATGCTTTCTCTTTACTTAAAAAAACTACTATATCTTTCACCTGCACTGCCCTATAATGATGCAATTGTCATTATATTCTGTGGAATATTAAAATGTTCCTTGGTCTACAGTGGGTTAATCATTCTCCGTCAATGATGGAAGGTTGGAAACCATATTCCTCGATTTTGATATTCGATTCGATATTACTAGCTAGCTAGGACTTCCATACCTAAACACAGAATTTTATCGGATTGATACATTAATTTTCTACTAGATTGGCTAGTTTTTTAGTACCCCCTTTTATAGAATTTGCTCCACAATAAGGTTTCAAAGAACAAAGTCAAAACATAAAACGTGTTAGCTCACTGTTGCTGGTCAACAGGTATCTGCTGTAAGGATGGGACATTTGTATATCCTATTTCCTTTAAATACATATGTTATAATTCTGTTTTCCAAGCTGCTTTGGAACGTAATTGATAATGACTTTCTCTTAGCTTAACATGTTTATTTATATATATGTATATCTCGATCCCGATACGTATTTTTTCCTATAACGGTAGAGAGCCTTTATAAGATTCTTCTATAAGCATAAGGTCTATAAGTGTGATGAAAACCGTAAATTATGCCCAAAATCAATCTTCTGAGTAAGCTCTTATCTATTAAATTTGCCATATTGGGTCTGCGGCTGTTCTTTCAAATAGTGCGCCCCTTAAATGCCGAAATATACCGAAATCTACCGTCTCATTTTAAAAATATACCACACTAAAGTCGGCTCTTCGTGAAATTATATTATTTTTTTTTTCTTCATTCTCTGCAAAACTATGTTTTGATCCGTTACGTTTATCAAGCAACACATGTGTCTTTAACATGTCTGACGAGCTGTGAGAAACAGCATGCATATCGAAAATTAAATTGCTAATGGTCAAACAATTAATTAGTTGCACTAACATTTTGAATTAAATGTGGCGGGAAACAGCTGTCGTTACCCAGATGTTCTGTTACGCGCACAATCTGTGCTGTTACATGCACACTGTGCTGTTATGTGCATTTATTACTTGCCATCGTTCCGATAACCAAATCGGACTGCGTCAGCTGTTTGAACGACTGACCTGATCATTTAAATAATTTAAATTAAATTCAATTTAATGCATCAGTAAGACATATATTTTTTTCAGATCCGTTTTATTGTATAAAAACAAAAATTAAAAAAACAGTAGGAAAAATAGGAAATATTTAAAATCTCTCCCCGACGGGAATTGAACCTCGGTCTTTGTCACTCAGATATTTTTCGATTTCATTTCGTTTTCTCGTAAGCAAGCTTTGCAATGAGACGAATGTATCTGCCTACAAATTGGTGTTTTGACAGACATCGATTAACATCCTCGATAGTATAGTGGTCAGTATCCCCGCCTGTCACGCGGGAGACCGGGGTTCAATTCCCCGTCGGGGAGAGATGTGAAATTCTTTTTTTTTCTTTTTTTACTTCGACGGAAAAATTAGCTACAGCAGTAAATGCAGGCTTTTCCTCGCATTATAATCTAATAATCATATAGTTGAAAAAATTATTTAAAAGCACAGAAATAAAATGTTTTATTTAAAAATGAAATGAGTATGGGTTGGATATGTGTGAATAAAAGATATAATGATTTGGCAGCTCATGGCTGGGCATAAGGCAGGCTGGAACTACTAAATAGGATTAGTACATGGTGCCAATGGACCCATTGAAACGATACTCTGTGGGATTCAGCTGATCATCGAAGCTATGCAGCGGCAATTGCGACTTGCGCAGCTCCCTTTCCACGGAGCGAGAGCGCAAATGAGCCCGATTCTTGACACAGCTCAGTGGTGTACGCTTCGGTGTGGCATTTGGTGTGGTCTTCGGTGTACTTGCAACGGAGGGCGACGACTCTTTGTCCATGTAGATCTTGGTCTTGGAGGCGCGTGCCGGCTTACGGGGAGCCACACGTCGCTTATTGCCCAGACGCACTCGGTCTAGATGCTTGTTCGTCGGCTGCTTCTCCGAGCTGTCTGGCTTTGGCGGCTCCTCTAGATTCGTGTCCGTTCCGGCGCTGGCAAACGAGGCCATGCTGCTCTCCGCACTGAGATTGAGAGTGAGGGTTTCCAAGATCTGTTCCAGCATCTCTGTCTCGCGTGCCTCTTCCTCTTCGTCGTCGCAGAAGATGATCGGCGTGCGCTCGACTCCAATGCTAGGCGAACGTGGATCGTAGTGCCTCTGCACTGCTGCAGGCGTCGCTGGCAGCTCCGCCGTGCAGGGCATCGTCTCTTCTTCATCATACGGCAGGGAGACGATTTCCAGCGAGCTGTTGTTGTGGTGTGTCGGGGGCGTGCCAAAGCTGTCGCAGGATACATCACCCGTTTCGGCAGACGGCGATGATAGACTCTGATATGGCGATTCGATGATGTTTGCTGCTGGCGTCTCGGCTATTCGTCGGGCCGGAGCACGTGTATCCACAAAGAGATCAGCAAATGTGTCATCCAGGTTCAGGGATCGCACTTCATCTAGTATGAGCGGTGTGCGATTCAACTGTGGCGAACGGGGATCGTTCAGCGAGAATCCCCTCAGCAGACGCTTGCGCAGCTGCGAAAAGGCATTTTCGGTCGGTGCCGAGGGGGGGTCCGCTGCCCGCAAAGTCTGTGCCTGCGGCTCTGACTGTAGGAACTGCAACCGAATATAGTTAGTTTTAAGAATCGCTTGATTGAACATGCAGTTTTAACTCACATTTAGAGGCGTGCGGCAGCCATTGGGCGAGCGTGGGTCGAGCAATGCGTTGTTTTCTTTATTTGGCGTTGTCATTTCAACTTTTTCGGCTTTGAAACTGGCTAAACGAAGTTTATTCAATGTTGGCGTATCTGGCAAGTATTCGCCCTCAATTTTTGATGCCTTGGCTCCCATGATCTCTGAATATTTTGTATTTCTTTCGCTCGGCACTCAATTTATCAGTGAAAATAGTTCGCTGCCGCGCATTTGTTTTGAAATGGCGTCCCTTGAAGGTTGCCACACATCAAATAACACAAAATTACCTAACGCGTTATTAAATTATATTAGTCGATTATTAAATCGTCAGTATATTTACGGTATATCGGTATATAATGGTATATTTTGTCAATGTTATCAATATATTAAATTTCATTTTCAACGGTACGTAGAAATCCAATAGCAGCAAGTATTTAGAATAGGCGAGTCAAGTAGAAAATAGGTTAGTTAAGCGTGTAAAATTATGTGGGCATGGCTAAATATTCTATCTAGCAAGTAATATTCCACGGAATATCAAAAACGAGGAACAAGTTTTATAGAACTTGAATTCGTCAGTATATTTACGGTATATTTTTTTAATGAGCCGGTGTATTTTGGTATATTTCTGAGGGTCGGACGGTATATCGGTATATCTTAACGATAAGTCCGCGGTCACACTGAGTACAAGGGCCAACAACAAAAAATTTGTTAAAAAGGCGACAAAGTGCATTACAAGGGCCAAAAACAACGTAAGTGTACCATTTATGTAAAATCAGCTAGCATAAACCATTTTCCCAACAAAAAAGTAGTTGTAAAGAAGCGCGTGTGTGCGAAGAAATGAAATTGCGTGCCAGAGTTTCTGCGTACGTTCGTGTGTGTGTGTGCGTAGTGCTGTGTATGCAAAAAGACAAAAATAAGACTAATTTGAAAAAGTATTCCATTCCGGAAACTTATTTCGGCCATTTTTACGCAGTTGTACGTGCATAATCTGTGTTGTGTGTGTGTGTGTATGTGTGTGGCCTCCGCAAGCCGAAGTAAATTCTCTCCTGTATGCATGTGGGACGGGAATCTTCACGCTGGGGCTGTCTCATTTATACACATTAATATGCTTAAATACAGTTGTGCCCTGCGCCCTTTGGCCACATTTTTTGTTTATTTGAATGGGGAGACGTTGTCAGGCCGGGACTAGGTCTAGAACCAGCTCTGTTCCGCATCAATCGAATATACCTGTAGTGCACTCAAATGTATTGAAACTATTTCGTATTTTGTCGGAAGTGAAATTGTTTTATTTGTTAATTGTAGCGCAAAAAGTAAACAAATTGTATACACATCGTTGGCAACGCGCATGTCGTGTAGACTTTCTCTCTTACATGCGCGCGTATGCGTGCAAATCCGTGTGAGTATAAGCTGAAAACATAAAATTTCATTCATTGCTCATTTCTGAGAAAAAACTACACACGATGCGAACGGGACGCCGTCCGTCGCCATCTGCAATACCATCACTGTGTGAGTGCGAGTGTGTATAGTGTATATATGTACTTGTGAATATGTATGTATGTACATTGTGCAAGATGTTTATAGTTTCAAAAGACAGCTGCCGTGCCGTGCCGCCTTTGCCAGCAAGGGTGTGGTAGCCACCTATGTTTCCACTTTTTTTAAATCAGGTGCATAAGTCTCCACACGCATCCCGTAAGCTAAAGATTTCCCTATTAGGTTAGGTCCCGTCCCCCAGGTCCGTGGCCAGTCCATCTTTGACTTCCAAACCACATTCCAGAGTTCAACATTCTGTTCTTGCCGTTTGATTGCCGTCATTGGCCGCGTTTTTTTCACACATTCCACGCGCTGCGCCGTCTTCAAAACACACATGTAAATACATATATACATATATGCGTACATACATACATGCATAGACATCACACACTTGCCTTAGTATACTATTGATTTCAATCAACTTTGTATACGCTCTTCGCTCTCAATCACCATCTTCATCTCTTCTCTTTCTCTTTTTCTCCGGCTTCGTTTGTTGTCTCTCGTGTGCCCATTTATCAATTAAGTACCGCGTCCGTTTGTCGGCTCATCACCAATTTATATGTATGCATGTATATGGTACATGTCTGAGCATACATATGTACTTCTTTATATGTGTGTGTATATTTGGATGCGCCTCTGTGTTGGTAAATTCCATTTCCTGTTTATAATGCTGTGGCACACCCCACCCGCTGTCGCCTTTCCTTTCCCTGTTTCGGTCCGTCATCAACCCTCCTTTGGAAGCCCCCCAATACGCATGGCGTCTCCTTCTTGCCTTGCCACTTCAACAAACAGACTTGTCTGTCTTGTCGGCAGAACGTGTGGCCGCTCAGACGCTGCACAGTGGGCAACAGACGGCGGAACTTAAAGAAAAAATGTACAATTTAAGTAAGGTCAAAAATTCCGTCTACGCATAACCCCAAGTCTAGCTCTTATCTGGCCTGCGATCTGCCACGAATTTCAGTTTCCTTGAGATTTCACTTTTTGCAACCACTGTGCCAATGGGCCTCTGACCGCTGTTTAGGAACCAAGTGGAATCGGAACACCCAAATGCGACGCTCCGCTCTCATTCCCAGCCTGATCCGGCTGTCATTTCTCTTGTTGTTGTTTTTGTCGGTAGCAGCAGCAGCGCGGCGGTGTGCTGAGTAGTACAGTACGTGCCACTTCCTTTACATTCAGAAAAATAAAAATCGCTTGCACACACACAAGCGTGCATAAAGAGACGGGTCGGACAGACGGACAGACAGCCCGTTTATGCTGTATCGCTAACCGAGAGCGGGAGCAAGGGAACGGTGTGCTTGGCGTCTGCGCCGAGTGTTGGGTTGTTTTTTTTATGCTGCTCGTTGCTTTTTTTTTGTATTGTTCTTGTACAGTTGCAAAGACACTCTCTCACTAGCATACACACACACACATCATACACTAACACACACGCGGCTACACTCAAAACAGTGAAAACGAGTTTGATGTCTCGGTCGATATGGCAACACTGTCTGTTCCCCTCCTTGAGGCCAGCCAGCCCCCCACCTCATCCCTCCATTCACTTGCTTATTAGAAGAAAAATGCCTCTGCGCGTTTGATTCGGTGTTGTTGTTTTTACGTAAGAAGGCCGTCGAACTCAGCATAGAAAAGAGGTAGTGACAGCGGTAGAGCGTCTGGGCAAGAGATTGAGAGGGAGCGAGAGCGAGAGCATGCAAATGAAACGAATATGAGAACGAACGCACGTTCAAGTGTATGAGTGGTGAGAGAGAGAGAGAGAGAACGAGCGAAAAAGAGAGGGAGAGTGTGCACGTGTATGTGTCTAATGATTACCGTTACAATTTGCATGTTGTCTAGTCAGACGTCTCGCGACCCAGACTAGACGACCCAGCAGCAATTGGAAAATATTCTCAACCTGACCTTTTATCGTCACAGCCTCGTCTCGAATGTATGTATGTATGTATATATATGTACAAGTGTGTTTGTATGTACATTCGAGAAGCCGCTACAAAGCTAGAGCATTATTTTATTGATTTTTAATAGTAGATATACACATACGTAGAGTCTGCCACTTGTGTGTGTGCATGCATATGCGTTTGTATGTTTGCTTGTATGGATTTGCGTGCATTCTGTTGTGCCTCTGGTTCAATGTCCTAACCGCACACAACAAGTGCAACAATTGTAACATCAACAACAACGACAGAAGACAAACTGAGAACACACCATACAAAAGGGAGAAAAAAGAATAACAACAGACTGTATTCCGACTACAAAATACCCGCTACTCGGTAAATTTAATATGTTGGACGCAGGACTTTTCTCGATTAAACCAAACCTGAGTTACGGGGCTCTTAGACTCTATAATCTACATATATATCAAGAATATGAAATGTCGGTTATGTATATTTACTGAATGGGGTCAAAAGTTGCACGTATGCAGTATACCTTACGAGGCACAGGGTATAAAAAAGCGAAGAAGTAGAACTTGTAGGGAAATACAAGTGCAAAAGCGTAGCGTCAAAGATGGATACAGAATGAGGGCAGGTCCTAGGGCAATCTATTAACATTTTCATCATCTTTTTTTCTGTACAGTTGATCTTGGGCGGTATGCGGTGTACACATAAATGTAGTATGTATTTATGTTGGTTGGGTTGTTCTTCTGTGCACTGTGTTTTGCTCTCTCCTTTTCCGCTTCACAGAACCTACAGATCTGACCAGGGAATGGCTTATTTTACTTTGTTGAGGTATTAAGCTTGAGGATTAGCAAATTCTTCTTCTACAGGGTAGGGAGCTTGCTGTCAAGATAATACATATAGAATCTGTATGAGCTAATATGTGTTTTAGTTCAGTTCCCAACGAATCATTGAAACATTTCAATAGCTCTTCAACCAAAGAGACCCAGACCAGACCAGACAACATCCGTAAGCTGTAACCCAGAAAACATTGTGTCAGGTTGGCGTTTTCCTCTTTGGCACTTCGTTGTTGTATTGTATGTGACGTCAATTGGCTTTGGAATGGTGTCGGCGGCCCACTTACGGGGAAACCGGCCCGGCCCGGCCCGCTGCAACTCAAAGTGAACTCCCAGCCCAGCCCCGTCCCGTCTGTTCGACTACCGGAAACGTGTAGTTGTAGTGCAGTACATATATGTATACATACATATGTATATGATTTCAATTGCTACAATGTTGTGGGCGTTATTAAGCGCAAAATCAAAATGAGGTATCTCCGGTTCGGCAGTCTGGCAACGCTGGGGCTCGCGGCCATCCTTTTTCGTTGGCTTTTTGGCGCGCATCAAACATACAAATGCATGGGGAACGGAACGGTGAGGTGGGGTGGGGGAGAGGCGAGAAATTTCCTGAGGAATGTTGTTTACGTGCGCGCCTGCGCACGAACCGAATCAACCAGAATCCCGAGTTCCGTGAATTCGGCTGCAACAACACAAGCTCTGGATGGCGGGGGGGAAAGAAGCGAGTCTGGTCTGAAGTCGTCTGCGTTTCTTCATCCTGTTCGTCCCGTTTGGCCGGCTACCTGCCTGGCCGTCGGGTCTCTGTCCCTTGTCTCTGTCCTGCCTTTACCACCGCCCTGCGTCGCTTCTTGTTTGTGTGCCTTTTTGCCCCACCAAACGAAACTCGGTTCGAGTGGCGTCGGTGGCGGCAGGGGCAGGGGCAGCGGGCTGCGGCGTGTCAATAACATGTTGATCCATCGTGCGAAATCTTGTGGCAACACCAAAACAAAAACAAAACTACCAAACAAGCTCGAAAGCCGCGCGCCGCATTGTTGTTATTTATGCCGCTTCACCTCGTTTTTCGTCTCGCAGAAGAGTCGCGAGAGAGAGAGAGAGAGAGCAGTCTGAAAAGAAGCGGTATATGGTATATGGACGCCTCTCATTGCAGCAGTCTGGCCACGCTCTCTTTTCCGCTCTCTCTCTCTCTGAATCGTAGCAACAATGGGGACTTTTATCGGGTATTTCTCTCTCCTTTTTGGGATATCCTCTCTCCGTGGAGGGATTTTTCATCGGAACAATTTCCGAGCAACAATGAGTCCCATTCCATGGTTAACCATTCCATGCACAATGTTGCTGGCAACACTTAATTTGTGTCCAGACTCATGTGCCGAGCGGTTGTGTTTTTGAGCTGCTGCGGCCGCGGCGGCGTTTTTCGGCGTTTTGGCAGACCGATTTCGAATTTAATTGAAACAGTTAGTTATTTGTTAAATAAAAGTAATGTTTCTTCGCTGTGATTGTGAAAGTTTTTAAAAAATATACACTTTTCTACGTTTCAAAGTGGTCAACGCCCTCACGCGCTCTTTTCCCCCCCTCCATTCTCTCCTTATGTGCCGGAGTGGCCTTTTATGGCTGTGTGCGTGAGTTTGTGTTAAATGTGTGCTTTAATTTAATAATGCAACGGATAAGAATATATTTTGATTCGGTTTTCACATCTTGATGTGGATTTTGCCCGCGCCCCAGCAAAATTCTTAGAATTCTTGACAACATTCCCGCGCGCACACAAACACACGCACACAACACATTCATATACACGGGCAGACGCAGTGAAAAAAAATATAATTTACTCATCCCCCCGTGAACGTCGCTCCTGGCAAAGAGAGCGAGAGCGGGTGCGTTTGTGTGTGGTCATCAACACACATACAGGCACATGCACTTGAACTCTCGTGTATACACGCAACACACACCTCAATTGGTTGAAGTCTCCGCTAAAAAGGCCTCTCGCTCTCTCTTCAGCATAAAACTAGCAAGACTTGTTTTTTTGCGCAAAACACGAAAACCGGTAAATTTTTGAAATTGCACACAGAGAGACTGAGAGAGAGAGAGAGCGTTGGTTGGGATTTGTTCTTGTGCTGGAATTTCGTTTAAACCATATTTTTCACACACTGCTTTTCTTACAGTTTTCTAAACACACACACAAGCGCTGAAAGAAGAGCCAACGAACTCGTGCAGCGACGCCCAAGAATGGTACAGGGCAAGGCAACATGAAAATTACAGCAACAACGAAAGCAGAAAAGAAGTAGAGAAGAAGCAAAGACGCCGTGCCGATGCCGATGCCGACGCCGCAGCGTACAACAGTATTTTATTAGCGGGTGTTGTTGTCATGTATGTATGCACGCTGTTTTGTTGCTTCTATTATTCAAAATGTTGTTAATATTATTGTTATTGTTGTTATTATTATGGTTGTTGTATTTGTTGCTTGCACGCATTTGTCATTTAACCGTAGGAATTTTCAGTTGTTTGCGAGGTTGTTGTAGCAATGAAAACGATCATCGAACTTGTTTTGATTGTTTTGTGATAGAAACGGAATCAAAATGAAATGACGCGCCGCTGATCTTGACCTACACGCTCGCAAGTTCAACGCAATTTATATGGTTATTCAACTTGCTTTTTTTTGCGCATATTTCTGCCAACTTCCTCTCGCAGACACTCACACACACACACAGACCCCACACCACACACATTTATAATTTTTATAACGGAAATTTTAATAAGCTAGATGTCTGCTGGGTGAGAAAGAGAGTGCAGCAGCAATGCTGCTGCGATTGTTAACTGTACATGCATGCATATACATACATACATGTGCATCTGGCATTTCTCGATTTCAATTAATGTATTTTTGCGCTGTGCTTGCGTTGATCTGATCCCTCATTCTTATCACGTGAAATGACAAAGAATTTGGCGACAAATTGCTACAGACTGGCGCCAAAAATTTTGTTGACCGTTTTTATTGTTTCTGATGTCCAGCAGTCGTGTAGAGTTCAAAAGGTTTGGGTATATTTTCTTTGTGAAGATCTGATCGGCATAGATGGCTATTCCTCAATACTATTACTCCTTCTTACTTGTTTTCTTCTCAATGTGCAGATGTGCTTATTTATTTTTTTTTATTACTGTTGAAATTGAAATGTAAACATTTATGTCGAAAATTCGCCTAATTTACTATTTGCACCTTCCGTCGCCATTCGAGTCGATTCATATTTGTGTTTTATCACCAGCCTCATCATCATTATCATGTTGATGTTGTTGTTGTTGTTGTCGTCGTCGCATTTATTGTTCTGTTTTTTTTTTGTATATTTATTTATTATGCCGCGGCCGCAAAAAAAGTACAAGTCAAAGCCAGTCCGTGGCCGTGAGAACATGAGAAAAGACAAACCTAATGTGCATCTCAGCCAAGCGCACGATCAGGGGGCTCTCTGGCACTCGGAAGACATCATCGAACCCAAAGAACCCAAAGCCTCGGGTCTCGGGGCCCCCGTGTCCGGGCCAAGGAGAATTGTGTCATTCTTCAAAGTGGTTGTGAAATGTTTGCCTTTTTATGCCTATTCATATCACAGCCAGCTTTGAGGAGCGACACGATGCTCAAGACAAAAGAAATAAACCATCCAAGGCGAATAAAATAATCGAAGAAAGATGAAACATCAAACATGGAAAAATGACAAAACAGTGCTTATTGTAACGTTGCAAGTGTTTATTTCGTTAATATCATTACATCAGCATTAATCGAAATTGCAAATTCTAAAGTCCCGCAGTCAATGATCCTGAATCCTATCTACAAAACTATTGGCACATTCATGCTGGGCTCACAAAGTGGTTGTGAAATGCATTTTGCTTTGCCCGCATATCACAGCCAGCTTTGATGAGCTCGGCGTAATGTATCGTACATCAATCAATCATAATATACGTAATACGTATGTATCCCTCCCCTCCACCGCCCCCCCGCCACCATGCAGCACACCCCGACACGCACTTGCATCTCTATATGGTGGATACTATACGGAGGGTGTAACCATTTTATATTTTGCAAATAATGACAATAATAATAACCTCTTCTCCACGCAAAAGCCAAACACACACTTGCATGCGTTTGAACCAATTTTCAGAGTACATTTTGGCCCACGAAATATGCAGAAATTAATACAAGTGATTGGGTAATTGGGTGATCCGGGTGGATGGGGTCGAGCGTCTCCAGGATGACCCGTCAGTCTATCGGGGGAGCAGCTGATGTGAAATTGGTTCGAACGCCGCAAGCAAAATGAAATACCCTATCGAGTGCAAAAACAATTAGTACACACGTTTTAATTTATAATACTGCAGATTTTGTATGATTTAACCACCATTGAACCATGAACCATTGAAAAATAATGCCACATCTATTATGATGTTGCTTATCTAAGCCTCATCAAGTGGTTGTGATATGGATACCCAACGCATATCACAGCCAGCTTTGATGAGCTAGGATAATCAACGGGAAACAACGTAAATTGAATTTGAAATTGAAAGAAAAAACAAGTGAAATTGGTCGTGTTCTCATCATCGAGTGATATGGAAGGATATGGAGAAATTGTTGAAACCATTTGACGATTCATAGCTGCGGAACAGTTTTTGATTGTCTAAATTGTCTAAACATATATACATATATATATACTTCTGATTTAATGCAGTTATTCCTTTTTTTTTTGTTTTAGTTGAGTACACAGTTCTAGAGCTACCCACATATATTTGATCGAAGCGAAAAGTATTATTTTATCCTTACTAATGCCAATTTTGTCTTTCCCGCAGATACACATGCCTCCCATTAACTCAACGTTTATGCAGCATATGTAGACCATAGAGAGCACCGGCAAACACACATTTCAAAAGAGCCCTGACGACGCCCTGTTCTGCAGCGGAGAATTAAGATTTTAATTTATTTTGTGATAGTTTCTAGTTTATTGATAAGCTTTAAAGAAACCAAACAACGATTGCAAGCCAAAAAGAAAACCAATATCGAAATAACGAAATACCCAAAAACCCCCCAAACTCGAAACCGAACAACCGAACAAGCTTCAAATTGTAATGATGCATTCCACAAGCACCGAGATCTACAATATGGGACGACCATATTATCTGGCCTTGCTGTTGATCGGCTGCCTGGCATATCCGGCCTGCATTGAGGCCTGCTCCAGCCGCACGGTGCCCAAGCCGCGTCCTTCCATATCGTCTTCGATGTCGGGTACTGCATTGCCGCCCACTCAGGCCCCAGCAACGACAACCACCATGCGCACCACAACGACGACTCCAAGGCCCAACATAACATTCCCCACGTACAAGTGTCCAGAGACTTTTGATGCCTGGTACTGCCTGAACGATGCCCATTGCTTTGCCGTGAAGATCGGGGATCTTCCTGTATACAGCTGCGAGTGCGCCATCGGATTCATGGGTCAGCGGTGCGAGTACAAGGAAATCGACGGCTCCTATCTGCCCAAGCGGCCGCGTCCCATGCTCGAGAAGGCCAGCATTGCAAGTGGTGCGATGTGTGCCCTGGTCTTTATGCTATTCGTATGCCTCGCATTCTATCTCCGATTCGAGCAGCGCGCTGCCAAGAAGGCCTACGAGCTGGAGCAGGAGGAGGATGACAATGAGTACGATCAAGGCGATGATCAGGATCAATGCGAGTGCTGCCGCAATCAATGCTGTGCTGCCGGCGACGAGCCTCTCGTCCAGGAACGCAAGCTGCCCTATCACATGCGGCTGGAGCATGCCCTAATGTCTTTTGCCGTCCGTCGCACCACAAAACTGTGAATCAATTGAACGCGGACCACGGACACAGACACGAACGACAGATCACTTGGAATGAATATGCCTTGGGTAACAGGAAAACTGTTCCATTCAACGAATTTTTAATGTGCTTTAGTCGGAAGTCCTAATTCCTATTTACTAATTGTTAATTGTAAAGTGTCCACAAACTACTGTCCACAGTCGGGAAAGAGATCTTACTATAGAAGAGAATTCCGCTCTCTCGTTCCAGACAAATGCATACTAGAGCAAGCCTTTTGTATTATCGAATCGAATGTATTTTTATACCTTACGCTAGCTATTTATTTTATCCTGATATACGTATCACACACACACAAGGAGAAACACGCGCCAAGTATTATTTATTGCGAGAAAAAAATATACACAATTATTTGAACAAATTCTGAATAAACATAAGAAACTGCACGATGCATATGAATGTTTAAGACGTTTCTTTTGCTCTTTAGTACGTTTGAGTACCCTTCAATCTACTGAAGATTACTGTAATACTAATTTCTACAAAATTTGTAATACAACAAAATTGTACCCAAAGGTGGTTTGTCTTTATTGGAGTCGAGACATTGTGTGGCTAAGATGGGAGTGTAACCCATCTACTCTACTGTGGTCTAAACAGAACTTTCGCGCGACTTAATTTTCCTAATTCGGTATTTTTTAAGAATTTAAATTTTTTTGCTTTCTATATTTCAATTCATATAATGGGTCGACCCTCCTTGGATGTAATAGAAGCATAGAATCTTTTGGAATACAAATACTCACCTATTTGTATTAAACTTTCTTCTTTCGACATTCCAATCTTTACCCCAATATAGACGATACTTTCTGTTTTCATAGAGGTCCCTATCATATACATTATAGGGCTGGAAATTCCTCCTTTTGGCATTCCAAACCCAGTTAAAGTATACCATAAATTCAGTCTCGGTAGAGTTCATTCTACCATCAAGATTATAATTAATTATGACGTTCTTTATCACTACCGCCTGACAATCGGTACATTATATTTTGAAGTGGGATTTACAGCCGGTGACACGCGTTGCTTGATTGAGTATATCCGGGTGGGTTTTCCCAGCCGGCAGTGAAACACAGCTAAACTATGTGCACGAGTTTATGGTACTTGTGAGGTGTTCGGGCGATAAGATTAGCTCATTTGGCAGATCCCATAAAATGTTAGATAGGTCAATATCCGTTTGTCATTAAACGAGAGCCAGTCTAAAAATAAATTATGAAACAAATTATATTTATTTATGTACATTCGATAGAAGCTATAGTTAAAATCTTGCATCTTAAAACTGACGAGAAATGTTTTCACATTTCTGATAGAGCGCTTTCATTGGGCCATAGCTCGACAGAACCAGCGACGTGAGGGTGAGGCACTTCATCAGAATCTGAAAGTCCGTCTCACTGCGATTCGTAAAGTAGCCCGTCTGGTAGCCGTAATACTGGGTCACCAATGCAATGACAAAGCAAGCGAATCCCAAGAAGTTGTGAAAGGTCTTGTTCAGCAATGGGGTGATCAGCCTTTTCACGCGAGCGGAGAAGAGTGCACTCAGGCCAGAGGTCATGGCCAGTATGCACAGTACAAATGCAGTAAAACCTGTAGGGGAAGCACGAAATTCCATTGATCAGTGGAGGCTTCACTCATTCATTCGGAGAGCAGTACTACAGTCGAGATAATGGCGCATTCTCTCTCTCTTGTTGTTTGAATTACTCACCCAGCTTTCCGTGCGTTGAGTGGAGAGAGAAACCTTTCTGTATCATTTTGATTAGGGCTCCAGATGCTCCACAGCATCCGCCCAGTGTTAGGACTATCCAATGTATTGTGGTCTTTGTATGCCGCTTGTAACTGTGTGTGAGAACATTGCCGCCATAGTGGATCATGACACCCTCGGCCATGAAGAAGGAGAACTGTACGAGAAAAAGATGATGATCTTTAGAGATCGATTCTTCCTGCTGCTATTAGCAGTTACGTTACCCCAATGGTGACCAGCCAAGCATGCAGACTAGTGCCTTCGAGTCCAGTCCGCAGTGTCAGGTATGAAATATAGATGGTTACGAAACCAATGCAGATTTGATTGAGAACGTTCAGAAAGAACTCCACTCTCTGCCATCGGTCCTGAGATTCGTGCGGGGACAGTGTGTTGTGGGACATTTTTGAATATCGTTGCGCAGATTCGATTAAAACAAATGAGGCTTGTCGTGCTGCTCTCGCCGCGTATGTTCTCGTCTGGATCGTGCTGCCGTAGTCGACGACTTTCTGTGATCTACTAACAACCGGCCTCTCGGGCTCGGCCATTGTAGTTTCTGTTTTGAATTATTTTAAGCTCTTATCAGTGCTTTGACATAATGTTCTTTTCGTGTTTAATAAAGTAAACTGCGAGTACACAGCGCAAGAACATTTGTACAGTTCCCAGCTGATAAGTGTGCCTACCTCTCATCAGACAAATTGTTGTAAAATAATTTATTGGGAACTAAAGCGGTAAATGATCGTCAATTCAACAAAACGATAGAACTTTATTAAGCGGCTAATAAGCGCCCCGATACGCCCATTGGACTATGTCCGTCCGTTCCTCCGTTCGCAATTGATTTAAATAATCTCCACCGCTGTTTCAGCGCAACTGCCGAACCTTTTTTGCAGCGTCACTTTAACGCACGCCGCTCTTGACTACTACAAACACATAAATAACATTTTTTATTTCAGATCGTATCGGTTTCCTCTTGGTGAAGTGAAGCTATTCAAGTGCCAATAAACACATCAGGTAAGTCACTAAACCGCAAAACGACCTTATATCGGGCTGCTCGTTGCACATATTTGATGGCAGTAGTGGATATTTGATCAGTTAGTAGTATTTTCCAGCACTGAGAGTAACGGACTAATAAACCAAAATGTGACTCATAAAGTCAGCTTAATATTTGTTATAGCGTAGCAGTTCTATGAATGAACACTAAACAGAAAAAATACCTTCAATCGTGCTGCATTAGTTGGTTAGTACTATTTTCCAGCACTGAGTGTAACGGACTAATTAACTAAAATATGATCATATTCAATTACGTTCATATTGGTATTGTATTATCTGCATAAAGACTGGTTAATATACTCCATTGTGTAGCAGTTATATGAGAAAACACTAAGCCTCAACTATACCTTTAATCGTGCTGATCCAACGATTAGCATTTTCCAACACTGAGTGTAACGGATTAGTTCAGATATATACCGTGTAATTTCAATCATATTGCTTATTTCATTTGAACAGCTTAAATATTATCTGCAACTGCCTAAAGACTGCATAATATTCTTCATTTAAAAATTAAACTAAATTAATTTCAAGACTAAACAAGGAGGTCTAAACAGCGTAAACGTTGCATTGCTCCCTGGACATATTTGAAGCATATTTTTTAGACGATCTGACGACTAATTCTTAGAATATGTTGGTCGGTCAGGGTAGGTAGCCTCTTATAGACTACATATATAAGCATTACAGTCGTACTGCTCTATTACGAACTTTAGTACTACGAAGGTTTCTAGACAACGAATTAATTTCCACCAAGACTTCGTTCAATTTGCTGTACGTTTTGCTCTCTTTATAAAGAATTTCCTTACAGTGAATATTTCTTTACTACGATTTTCGTACGCCCGTAACTCGAATGGTCATATGCTTTAGATCTCCCTATAACGAATTTTTAGTATATCCGATCAAAATACTCACTCATCATACTCAAAATTATCTGTGCGAAAGTGGATGTGTATAACCCCCAGAAGGACGCGTTTCCGACTCCATAAAGTATATATCTTCTTGATCGGCAATAGCCGAGTCGATTGAGCCATGTCTGTCTGTCCGTTTACCTATATTCTGTCTCTCTCTCTCTCTCTCACACACTCTTTGTCTTGAACTGAACTTAGTATCGGGTATAAATGTAGAGTCGCGGCCGTAGCAGCTGAGCTCACCAATAGTGTTTGCATCAGCTCTCAGTTTGTAGGTGATTCAAAGGTAGATGTTGATAGCCGGCAAAATGTCGAAGCGTAATTGCATTTAAGTGGAACGAAAGCTTTTGATAATTAATAAAGTTTGCAAGTTTTTAAAAATAAAGCAAAGCTTTTTAAAAAGGCAAACCGTGAAAAATTTAGCTCCAAGTGCAAAAGAATTCGCAGTTGTCTTTGTAAGAATGCTGATGAGGCCATGTCTGCTCCATGGGCACTCCTTCCGACGAAGACGAAGAGTTCTCTAAAATTGTGGACTTCAATATATCTCAGGTCCTCTAACTTTTAAATTATTGTTAAACAAATAAATTCTGAACGTTTTTTCTTTAATTCCAAATTCAGATGAGGATGAACAAGGCGATACTTCAATCGTTAAAGATCCCCTAAAGGAAAAAGTTAAAACAAAAAATTACGAATTATTTTAAAGCAAAATAAACTTAATAACAATTTCATCTTTCGAATTCTACGTATTTTTGGTACAGGGAATTATTTTCGAAATCACTCAAATCAATCAGAAATAGTTTTGGGAAGACCACTAGAAAGACCACTGTTATGGAAATTTGGATGCTTGGATTAATTACTTGTGCAATAGAAACAGCAGAATATCGAAAAATCAGGGTGGAAAAAGGGGAAAACATTATTGTAGCAGAAGACAAGACCTCTCTGCTCCACTTCGATATTCCTTGTCTTGGTCCCCTTCCTGCTTTTAATCCCTGTCTAGGATACTCAGTGGATCCGTGCCGTTTGCCTCGATAGCCTCCCGAGAGGCTGAGACCGTGTCCTCTCTTATGGGCGGAAGAAGTTAGTTAAACAAAGATTCGTTTTCAGTCATATATTTCTTAACCTAAAGTATATAAATATTGAAGCTTAAAACACAGAAGAACAAGGAACATTTAAACACAGAACTTTGAAAAAGCATAGGCTTTAACTCGTCAAACTGACTACTTTTTGGTACAACGATTTGATGGCTCCTATGGTGGTCAGGACCATGGATACCAGTGTGGCTACTCGCATGAGGATAACAAAGTCAGCTCCCTGGCCTTTGAAGAGGCTAGTCTGTGCATAGCCGTAGTATTGGGCCATCATGGCAATCACATAGGCAGCAAAGCCCAGCACGACATGGAAAGTCTTGTTGATCAGCGGCGACACCGCCCTGCTCATGGCTCGGGCCAGGACGGCAGCCAGCCCACTCAGCAGTGAGATCAAGCACAGGATGAAGGCAGCAAAGCCCAGGCTGGCATGTGTGGTAACAGCAATTGTCCACTTGTCTCGAATCAGTTGGATGAGACAACCGGCTACGCCCATCCCGCCACCGATCACTTGCAGGACGACATGGGCGGCCGTTTTGTATTTGCGGGTGTAGCGCAGCGTTAGCCAGCTTCCGTCGTAGAAGCACATCATGCCTTCGGCCATCAGGAAGATGAATCCAAAGGTAACCAGCCACACATGCAGGTATATGCCAGTCAGGCCCTTGCGCAAACACATCCAACTGACCCAAAGGGTCACGAAGCCAATGCACAATTGGTTGAGGACATACAGAGCCGCTTCAATGTGCTGGATCACTGAGATTTGACTGGGTTTCTTCTCACTCATGGTTGAAAGAATTATGTAAACTAGGTCTCCGAGTATTGAAATCACTAATTATTATATTCGAAACGAGTAACTCAAGGACTAACAATATTTATTATACTAGTAATCGCCTTGCATGTCCTGTGAAAGGATAATTTTATATTTCTACCCCTGCAGCAGCTTCTTTGAACCGTTTTTCATCAGGTTTTGCATTGAACTATATTAATTAAATGTGCTGAAGGTCTTTATTGCTTGAAAAACGAGTGGATTTTTGAGTGCACTCAACTGGCAGACTATTTGTTTGCTATCGTTTCATTCTAAAGCCCTCGACTCAAAGGATTATACTATATAATTGATTGCCACCCAGCACGATCATGTCTAAGTTCACGTATTGAACGTCATCCAATGGCAGTCTTTAAACGTAGTAGTATTCCTAGTATTCGAGCTATGCATCTGCTCTGTCATGATCTAAGCATGGGAGATTATGAGCCAGCTCCAGTTCCCCATCGAATGTCTTATGCGCTGGGAATCACGTTTACCGTGCCCGCTCCTAGGCAAGAGCTCGGGGGGGCTAAATATAGAGAGGTTATTAACAATAATTGGAGGCACTTTTAAGTTGAGTAGCTTTGAGTTGCTCGCTTGCGAAACTTAATGAAACATATGTATTTCGTGATTAGACCGCTAGTCATTCACTCCGTCTCCTTATCGAAATGCAAAATCGCACGTACCGAGATAAAGTTTGCCCGACATTCAGCCACACTCACATGTTGGTGGTAGACGACAATTATTTTTGGTCTCTGGCAAAGCGACTGGACAGACAATCGGTTAGATTTTGGTTTTGCTGATCATTAAACACACACACACACACACACACCTTCTAATCAAAGAAAACTGTAAATTTTGGAAAAGAAAATTAAGTGATGATTCATATCTTGAGTGAGAAACTTGAACAGTACACATCTGTGAACAGTAGGTTATCTGAATTAGGATCCCATACCAGCCGCAAGGCCTTCGCTATTTCTGTTCCATCATGGTACTTGAACAGTTTTTCGCTTTCATCGTACGGCCTTCATCAAGCACTCTAGGCTCATTGGAGGGCCACTTGCGTGTAGGAAAGTGTACTCTGTGCAGGAGCTTCTTTACTTGACGACGGATGACATTCACCATCACCTCTTCGCCGAAAGATGCATTGAAGATATTCGCCTAGGTGAGACATCCATACCTCCACAAAGTGCAATGCAGAAGAGCCCAATCCGAAACAGTGTGTTGAATATTTTTGCCTATATGGTTGCGCCAGTCATCAACCAGTCATTGAGCTTTCGGATGTGATACGAAGTTTCGTGCTGGTGGAATGATGGGGTAAGAAGAACTTCCCTAATTTTTGTTATGATTATCCTGAAGGAATGTGCTATATTGAGCTTTCAGTAGAGGGTTTTTTGACAACTTTGTCTCCAAACTTTTGAATAGACGAAGAGCGAGATAAAATGATTCGCCAAGAGCCTTGAAACCAGCACTATCCAACAGTCAAACAGAAAATTTACCATTTTCAAGATGAGAACAGTTTTCCTTCAACAAACGCTCCCAGAGTAGATCCTTAATCGATTTATCTGACTCCGCTGAGTAACGGTTTTCAAGCTTTCAAAAGCGCTTCAAAGTCTTCCTTTGGTACGTGTGGTCTTTATTAATTGGTCTAGCTACTGTAGGCAGAGCACTATTATTGATGGTCCGGAGACGAAACAACCAGATTGGATGTTCTGGAGCAATGGAAACGTATCGGCCAACTGAATCGGTCCAACACAGATCAAGCCAAAATATACTCCAGCGCCTATTAGCATATCGATTCCCTGAGATCTATAAAACAAGGGGTCACACCGGTAACGACCGCCGTGAATGAAGGGCTATAGCTGCCATCCTGAGACTCCTGTTTTACCCTAGATAGCTCGCAGCTACCTTGCACTCAGAGTCTTTGCCAATTGTCGCAGCGATTGTTTTGTATTTAATAATATTCGGTAGCCAGTTCGAATTTCACTGGCAAGTGAGGTGGCATAGATGTGGGATAGGATGTTGCTGGTCCCCCCACCAAATTCATCAGCGTCGAAATTGCACCAATTGTCACAGTAAATGAGTCCATCAAACGCATTTTAATTATACATTACATAGTGCAATTGGTAAATGGAAGATACATATTATTAATACATGTGTCTAGTTAGTTAATGGCGGCAACCGATACCATTTGCAGACTTGCAGCTGTGACTTATAGGATGCACATACATCGAACTGAGTTTCTTATTTACTTATTGTACAAATTAATGTTTAGAGAACAAACAACATTTATTTACATGCATATTTTCGCACACAGAACGAAGCAAAGCAAATATATGTATGGTATGTATGAATATATTCATAGAATCTCGATCCTAATCCTAATTGGAAGTCACGACATACATATATATGTATACATATTAGGCTTAAATACATATTGTATTAGTTAGGGTGAGGTTTAACAAGTCTATGAAATACTATCACAGCCTCATCCGACAGAGTTCATCCGCGAAGCACATAGACATAAATAAACAAACCTTATCTAAAGAGAGAGTATCAATTAGACTAGGGACCTACCGGCACGGTAGTCGACAGATACATGCTACTACTATAAGTGCGGCTCATCATTTGGGTGAAATTTATCTGTTAGCATGGGCAGACATCTAGACCAGTAACAATCTCAGGGGGGCGTCGTCTTATCACTCCCCACTGGATTCGACAAGAAGTACATTATCTTTAATATCTCGCTAAACTTTGGTGTGTCTCTGGGATGGCGCTTCTCGAGCCCCGCTATCTGCTCGAGGGCGACTTCCACATCTACAACATTGCACAGAATCGATTGCAGTCGCTTGGGAAATTTACCGGGCGAATCCTCGACCCGTCTGCGTGTGGTTTCCAACATATCCAGCTGATCCTCCGGCGACACTTTGTGGTAGCTGACCACCAGCGTGGTTAGTTGCGGCAACTGGTCCGCCAATAGAAAGCCATAGTCCTGGGCATCGGATATACCGAGACGCTGCAGACGCTTGGCCCCCGCACTCTGCAGTATAGTCTTTTCCACTTGGTGTCTGTTGGCGGTCAGGTCCAGATGGGTCAGCGACAGCTGATCTAGTATCTCACTCAAGTACTCGGTCTCAATGGAGCACTCGCGGGCGACCAGCGACTCGAGTTTGGTCAGACTGATCATGTGCTTGCCCGTGACGTAGGCGCTGGACACGCTCAGACAGCGCAGCTGGCGACAGTTCTTGGCTATGGTATTGACCATGCTGTTGTTCATGTTCTCATCTGCAATGCAAAGCTCTTTTAGGTTACTAAAGTCTCGGCGCAGATAGAAGCTCAGTTCGGGGCGCATCAGGTGGCGGCCCAGGTACGAGTCGAATGCCTTTGAATGCACATTCCATATGTAGAGCTCCTCCATGGCGGCGCTGGTCAGCTCAAAGAAGTAGATGTAGTCCGACTTGCTCAACGGTTTTAGCATGGCATCCGACACTGAGACATTCCGATACCGTGGTTTCCTCCACACAATCTGGCAGAGCAGCTCCCGGAAACGGGGCGACAGGCGGCACATCTTTATTTGGTCCACCAGTGGCAGGTACTCCAGTATATGGCACACACAATCGTCGTTTAGCCTCTCCATGGCGAAAAATTGTTGTTAAACCGTACTTTTCGATGTTTTTTTGTGTGTTTCTAGCAAATGTTGTGAATTTCACCAGCTGATTGCCGACCCTGAGAAATATACCGTAATATACCGTCTCATTTTAAAAATATACCGTAAATATACTGACGAATTCAAGTTATATTATACATACTCCTCGTTTTTAATATTCCGTCGATTATTAATAGCTAGATAGAATATTATGCCATGACCACATAATTTTATACGCTTAATTAACCTATTTTCTACTTGATTGGTCTATTTTAAACAATTGCTTTTATTGGATTTTGCCTAAAAAAGGTTTGAGCAAAAAAGGTCAAACAAATAAAACGTAAGAGAAAATCGTTCCTATTGCTCAATTTTTGTTGGTGTTTTTTTTTTCTCTTCTCAGTGTACGGTCACACAGTTCAACAGTTTATTCAGATTGAAAATTAAATTATCGATAAAATTTGAAAATAATCAAATTCAAAATAACAGCACTTAAATAGGCTATCCAATAGGAACACGAACTTTCTGCATTAGATCCCACGGTCTTTGGCTCAGGCATTCGTGCTCAGGCCATGTGTACTTTATTTTAAACAAGCTTTCTGTTACCCTTAGTGGCAACTTATTCTAGTTTTACACTTAAGGTAAAGAAAAATTGATCAGAGATCATACATGCATAACAACAAAAAAATAATGTAAAAAAATATTGCGACCGACCTTATTCTGGTATCCCAGATCACGACGCACGGAAGAGGGATTTGGCAGTGGCTGGAGTTCTTAACTAAGGATCTATGATATTTTTCTGTTCAACTCTGCATTCCATTTCAGATTGATAGTGAATACCTAAGCTGAAATCGAAAATGAAAAGCAAAAGATTTGTGAAATGTTTGTATTTGTAAATGCTTTATTCGTAGAGACTAAACGATAGCTTCAAGCTTTCTGCGGGTTTCATCGGACTTGTGATGGAAGGTTTAGACTCTGTAGTTTGGTATTTGTAATTCATATTGCTCAGCAACTGCCAAAGCAGCCCGAACAGGGTCCTGTTGCGCCACACGGTCCGCAGACATTGGGACCATAGCAGGGTCCACAGCAAGGATCACAGCACGGACCACAGCACGGACCGCAGCACGGACCACAGCACGGACCGCAGCACGGACCGCAGCATGGACCACAGCAAGGAGCGCAGCACGATCCACAAGGGTCACACATTTTCGATCCGTAAAATTTCTAAAAACAAAATAATTTTAATTCTTTTGATTTTAGAAGAAAAGTGAAAGTAGTTACCTGAAACCAAACAGGAACTTGAAACTATACAAAAATTTGTTTGTTCTGTGCGGATCGGAGTGTGATGAACAACTGAAAAAGTAAAGCAGTAGAAAATATTACAAGATTTTGACAACTATAAATGGAGTTCTTGTGGGTAATGTGATTGGCCCAACATACAATATACATAATCGAAATCATTCCATCAAGTCATCTGTGAAAATACAACTATAGAAATATGCTACAGTTAATTATCCAACAATTACAATATTTAAGGCCCCTTTAAGAATCCAATTAAACATAATGCGCAGAAAAAGGAAAACTGTTGTCCGCTCTACGGTGGCCCCTCAGTCGCCTTGCATACGTATCAATTAACATTTTGAGTGTGTTTCCATGTTCAACTGTCACTTTTATACGCATCATGCAGCATCCGAACCAAGAAGACCGCCCCAGACCCAAAATACCCCAAACATAACGCATTTTCTCTGTCTGACTGGCTGACTGTTTCGGGACCAGGCATGGGCTTGGTATGGGCCACACATGATTTGTGCGTGACCATGCGAAATGTAAATTATTTATGTTTTGTGCGTCGTATATAAGGCATTATCCTACAAATGTATTGAGTTCTGCCTCCTTCTGACAGGCGACTGGGCTCGGACCAGCCCGGCGTCGCTTTCACAATAGCGCAAAAAATAGCCAACTGTTGGAGGCACCCTTGTCAGGACAGCATTGGACAGCAATTGATTGGCATTAGGGGGAGTATGGGAAAAAAGCGGGCCTAGCTGGTATGCTCAGAATAACGAATCGGCAAAAAAAATTAAAGTACACTTTAAAATTTGCATTTCAGTTATCGTAGATGCCATAAATTGGTTGAAATATCCTCGAATCGGTGCCGAAAATTAGGTCACTCAACCCAAATCATGTTTATGGTAATCTGACAGTTTTATAGATAGCCCAAACATATACATAATACAGCTAAAGTGTTGCTTTTGAGATCAAGTAAAGGAAGATATGCCCTAAATGGTTACACAAATGTCATGAGCCCTGGGGAATTTTACTCAAGTGTTTTATAAAATCGATTAAATGAATGAATGAAGGAATACGAAGACTTACCAGTGTGTCCTTCAAAATGCAATCATGATCGATCTGAACTGTGGTACAAGGATGAACTCTACACCAGTCCATAGCATTGTCATTGCCCTTTTAACCTGCCCACACTTCTTTCTATAGAAGGAAGGCTATTGTTTAAATTAGATAATGACTATGACTGGCATACGTATAGGTCATCCCACCACCGACTGACCGGCATTTTCCCTTGGTGGGTGTGCGCCCCCAGTTCTCGCCTGGGTTTCAGGTTTCCCCCATTTAAGTGGCCCACAATTTGTGCCGGCCGTTTCCATTGTTGCGGCTCAATTATGGACGTGATTAGAGCAGCCATGCATTATATGTACATATATATGTTTGTTCCCACATAAGCGAGCGCTCGGCTAAGCGGCAATTAGACGCTACGCGAAAGTGCTCCGCTCCGATAAATTATTAGCTGCCAAAATGATGGCTTTTAAAAACCTGCCACCTTTTCATTTCTGGTTCTTTTTGCCAAAAACAAAAAGAAAAAACCGAAACCCTCTGCGAAAGAAAAAAAAAGGAGAAAGACCTGTATAAAACGCCATCAAATATGCAACACTTTTTCTTGTTCAGCGCCTTGGCAAACAATTGGCCAATTAAGTCAAAAGTTTGCCTGCTTGTAGCAGGAAGGTTCCGCCGGTGGAGCACCCAGCCCCAGCCCCTGCTCTTGGCTCCTGTCCATTGGCCCCAGCCGATGGCCATTGCATGCCAGGCGCACATTTTGTGGCCATTTGCGTGCCGCCTTTCGGTCCGCGACGGGGCTCGTTCGCCCATGATTTCGGACCTACAAAAGGGCGTAAAGGCGTAAGAAGGGAAACGGAATGCAGCTCGTTACGTGCTTTATGCAGATGGTCGGGACGGGACGGGACTTTTTCACGGTTTACATTTTCGATTTTGTGCTTTCCACCGTCTGTGCCCCGGGACTGCCGCAAATCGCAGACATGTTGGCATTGCAAATTCAATGGAGGAGCACTCTTTGGCCACTGAGAGACTGAGTGCAATATTTCATTTTTAATTCGGACCCAAGAGGTGTGGATTTGATTTAGTTTGGCCAAAAGACCAGGAAATTGATCTGCATTTTTCTCTCGCTTGTAATTTTTTGGAGCTGCTTTCCCCCAAAGAGCAATTTCCAGGGGCAGCACATGTGCATTTTGGGCACTTTGGTTAATGCTAGTTTTGGGATTACTTGAAAAGTTCATTCATGAGTCACTTTGGGGGAGCACTTTATGGTTCGAAAGTAGTTTGAGTATTAGTTTTCCATCACCATTAGAAAAGTAAAAGTAAGAGCCACTGCTGTTCCAAACTTACCAAAAAGCAGACGAACATACTTTTGACACCCATTCTAAACCCATTTAATGCCGCAACACTTTCTGAAATTTAAGAACAAATAATCACAATTAATTGATTTAGTTTTTGGTTTTCATGCTTTGATTTATTTTGTCGGTACTCTCATTTCTCATGATTTTCCTCCGAATTTCTTGTTTTCTAAATGCCTGGCGAAATTATTGAACGTCTCAGCTAATTAAGTCAATGTAATTACATAATTAGTTTAAATTCATATTATTATACTTGTATGTTCTGGTTTTTGTTTTGGTTTTTTGTTTTTTGTTTTGCTTCATGGAAGAGAAGAAACTTGTTGGATCACAAAGGTTTTTTTTGCTTTTTGCTTTCGTTTTTTTGCTAGGGTTAAATCTGGCTCAAAGGCTCTCTAACAAAAGGTATAGAAACAAAGTATTCGAATGGAATTTTAACCACATTAAAGCTTATGTACACTAAAACAACATAACTAACAATTTGAAATCGATTTCGTTGGTTTAGGCTTGAGTTAGGCTAAGGATTTCTTATATTCTTCGTTTGTTCAATTTTCATTTTATTATAGTTTACGGTAAGGCTGAAGACAGAGTATTAAAAGTGTTTTTTTTATTGTTTAAGAGTAAAAGTTGTTTATAAAATATATTCATCATATATCAAAGTATAGTATCCATAGTTTATCCATAGGCGTATATTACAGTTTACCTTTTATACAGAGCCACCACACCGCCTCTCTAGTTTCCACTTGAGCTAATAATATTTTGTGGTTTCTTTTATTTTTTTTGGTTTTCAAAGGTTTCTTTTTATAACTCGAATAATGCAAACGCTTGATCCACTAAACGAACTAGACTACTGTATACTCGTATATAGTTATTTGATTCTTGTATATATCAGAATATCAGTAGGTGTATATATATATTATATTGTATGCTTGTATAGTTACTAAATGGTATTTGAGTCAATATTCATTATGTCGTATGTCGTGTGTCGTATGTATATATATATATATTGCAAATTTCATTAATATCTCTACTTGAATTCCATATTCTTGTGTATATATGCACTATCTTCATATAGTTATTAATTTTCCCACTTGTTTCTTTGGTAATTGGTCCTTAGTACACTACATAGAAAGCAATTAAATATTCGGTATCGTTTTGTTTCTTAGAGCAATTTCAATTTCCATAGCATTGGGCGCCCCGACACGGCATCGCACTTATGGCTTCATCTGGAGGGCCGGACCTAGGCCCCATTTGAGGTAAAACACCTTCGTCCTTTAATTTTTTTGTGGGTGGGTGTGTGTTTGTGTGTCAACAGGGGTCGGGGCGTGTGTGTGTGGGGCGGGGGGACGAGAGCGAGATGAGAGCAGCAGCAGCTGGTCTTTTTACAGCCGCAGACTCAGCTTTTCCGACATCTAACACAGCTGTGACGACCTTTCAGACTAAAAATAAACACCTGAAACCCACACACAGACACGTCCGTCACCGACCACCACACCAGGTGGTGTACGAGTATCTGTGTGTGCTTTTCCTTTTCTCTTTGTAGCTGTGCGTGTTTGCGTGTGTGTGTGCCAGCCAGCGAGTTAATTGTGGACGGGTAAACGTACACCCCCGGACTTAGCCAAACATTGGCATGCGTTTTGCCAGCGTCTAAAAACGCGTAAAAACGGCAGAAACCGCCAGCGACGCACATAAAAGTGTCAGGCAGACAGAAATTTATGTTGCCTTGCAATTTTCTAACATCCCACCTAGAGGCCTACCTGAGGGATCTCTCTCTCTCTCTCTCGGAAGGTAGGGGTTAAGGCTAGGGGGCTCTGCGGCAAGCGTGGCTTTATTATTAAAATTGCCCTGAAAGTTGGAGAAATTTTGAGGCCATTGAGATTGCCACTGCGAAGCGAGGAGATGTACTTGTATGGCACTCTTTCGTAGGTAAGAGCTGAAATGTTGTTAAGGTGGAAAAACTTAAAGACTGCCTGGTAATTAGGTTTCATTTCGTTTAAACCTACTTGAGCTTTATGTCTCATAAAAAGCTGTAGTTTTTCGGATTTAGATTCGCCCATAGTTGCCTGGGGATTTTATAACAATTAGTAGGGTTATCATAGCAATACGCTTTAAAGGCTTTCCGGCCAGATTTTGAGATCTTTTTTATGTGTCCTGTCATATCTGAGATATACTCTTTGCTAAAAGCATCCATAATATTAACATTAAACAGCTATGGCTAAGCCTTGGAGATCTGCTGAGGGAGTGCCCTTATTTCTGGTTCTTCTGAAACCACCTCTACCTTCATTCTGCCTCCAGACAACCCGATCGGAGCTATCCTATAACCATATATTTTCCAACGGCTGCCACTGCCACTGCTTCTGTTTCTGGGCGACTGCCAGCACAACCATCATAATTAGGAGCCGCAACAGAGTCAGAATTTGCCTGGCGGTTTTGCTAATTAACTGCCGCTTGCAAAAAGTGTGCCGGGCCAGAAATCTAATTAAAGCTAATCCTTTTCTGCATATTGCCATATTTGAAAAGAAGGGAAAGTATGGTAGCGGGATGCTCCAATCTTCCACTGGTGTTGCCTTGCTAATTGGGGCTTTTAATGGGACTGGGAATGGGACTGGGAATGGGACTGTCTGTCTGTCTGTCTGTGCGATGCAGTGTCATTGGCGCCTCAGTGCCTTTGTCCTTTGTCAACGTTGCCTGCTCCTGCGCCTGTGACAGTCGCAGTTTTGCATACAATTCGAGCATTATTTTGTCATTCTTTTTCTTTTTAATGTTTAATGTGTATCGCAGCTATTTTTGACCTTTTTTTCTCATTTTCATTTAACTCGTTAGTTCACCTTCGCTTATGGACTAGTTTCTTGGTTAATTCTACTTTCACTACTACTTTCTCCTTTAGAAATGTACTTTGCCATGCCTTCAAAGTCGAAATTGAAGTTCTTGTGGCAATACAAAATAATTAACAAAAACGATTCAATTTGTCTATTAAATATTTGAAATATTGTTGCGCTACTTACATGCATTTAAACTATTAAATTTGTTTATTTTCTTTATAATTTTCATTCTTTCTTGTTGTTGTTGTTGGAGTTTATCGCATAGTATATTTTCTCCTCTTTAATTTAATTTTACTTTGGCCATTTTGCGTTTTTCTGCTGTTTGCTTGCTGCGAATTCAATTCAGTTTTTATTCGAAATTATTTTCATGCAGGGCTGCCTGCGTGCCTGCCTGCGTCTCTGGTTCCAACATTCCGTTTCATTTCAATTATTTATGCTTTTTATTTATGGCTGTGTTGCTGTGTTGTGTTTTTATTCCATTGGATTTAATTAAACTTTACTGCAAACGTATTTTCTTTCTCGTTTTCCCCAGCTGAGGGGACAACGACCATATCTCTCGGACATTATTCTGTTTAATTTCGTTTGTGTTTTGGTGGCAGTAAATTTTATGATAAAATTCAATCATAGAATGTGCGATTAACAGCATTCATATTAGAGAAAGAGTGTCTTAAAGATAGCTATGCAAATGAAAACACTCTTTAATCGGAAATAAAGTTACTCTAAATTATTTTCAATCTCTTCTCCACTTTTCAATTATGAGCAAAACTTCATCAATTTATGTAGAATTTATGGGCTCTGTGCTTTCTGCCCGCATCAGCCATTAAGAATTTTAGCAAATGATAAAAATGTGTGTGTTTCACCACCAAAAAATGCCATTTAGAACGTTGTCAAATTTGATTTATGGTGGCAATTTCCGTTCTGGCCGAACGCCGCACACCTCAAACCTCAGCTGGTTCTTGTTTGCCTCTTCAATAAATGTGTGTTTTCAATTTTATTTCTGTTTTCTCTTCATTGGAAATTTATGCAAAACTGCATAAGTTATAGCAAACAAAATAAAATAAAAAATCAACAATAAAGAAAGGCAGATTCGGATAACCGAAGCGCTTAATACCCTTGCAGAGCGAGTGAAAGAAAGCTTTTGAATTTGGGGACAGTATTTTCCAAAATTTTGACACATGGATCACGAATAATTCTAGTTTGAACATCCGTTGTTGAAATTTCACTCAAAGTGGTAATACCCTCTGCAAGGGCATTAAAATGTCACACCTGTCACCGAAGAAAAGCCGCATGCGAATTTTTTATTGCCTACCTTTGTGCGCACCGCGGTCGCTCTCCCTCTTTTGCGCTCAGTGTATGCTTGTATAGGTGTAGATTGGAGGTGTGTGCGTGTGCATGTTTTTATCTGTGTCTGTTTCTGTGTCTGTGCCTCTGTGTGTAAGTTATGTTTTCACAACCATGTTGATTTTGCTACTTTTATCCGCATACTCGTGCCATAAACATTCGTGGTTTGTTTCCGCTGCTATGGGCACACTGGTTTGGCCTTTTCGTGTTCTGCTTTTTGTCAGGGCTCTGGGCACACTTGCTTTGCCTTTTCACAGGACACACTTGTTTCCTTGTTTTCCTTGATCATTCGTAGTAGTGTTCTTCTTTGCTTATTAATTTTCAACAAAATGCCATTTAACTTAGTGGTTAATAGGGTTCTCCTGCTGGCTGTGTGTTTCGGTATCTCTGTGTTTGGTTTGTGTCGTAAACGATAAATCACATTTAATGCAATTTACAAAAAAACCATTTCGTTCCCACGTTCCGTTTTGAGTTTTGCAATCAGAATTATTCCATCTCTAAATTATGTTTATTGCTGCATATCGCCGCCATTGCCCAGGCCAGCCTTCGACTCCGGGGGCACCTGTTGTGTTTTGGTAGATAGAAATTCGTTTTGAATGAGTTTTCCAAAAAATACATCAATTATTCGCTACTTTGATAGGCAGAAAGTATATAGATATAGAGAGTTATAAAGGAGGAGTACAGGTAGACAGACAGAAAGAGAGATAGAGACACAATCAAGGCATAAGCAAACATTTAGGTAAAGTAGCAAGTGTCTGTGTGGGGTTGTCTGTGTTCTTTGCGTATCTGTTTCTGTATCTGTATCTGTATCTGTATCTGGATAAAAGGAAAACACACATCGAGCAACAGCAAGTCCCAATAAAATATACACACTCGCACACACTTATAGACGCAACCAAATAGAAAAAATATACAAACATACATACAGACATTATGTAGGACAGCCAAAATAATTTGTGTGAAACAACCAAAAGAATAAACGTGAAATTAGGACTAAGCCAGAAAGAAAAACTTGCATAGAGTACGATTCGGAAGAGACTGAGAAAGAGATGTTTGAACCAAAAAGAAAACTTGCTGAAGAGTAAGACTTGGAAGAGGCGAAGGCGAAGGAAAACGATAGAACTCATAACAACAGCAAAACAGCAGCAAAATAAAGTTGGAACAACTTGCAAGACACCCAGAACAACCCAACAAGAAAAGAAATACCAAACTAAACTCAACTAAATTTAACCGAACTCAACGGAAAGCCGCAAAACTCCGCACTTTGCCACGCATCACGGAGAAAAGGCCCCCCCCCAGAACCCCAGAAACCACCAACAAGCATACATACATGTAAGAGTATGGCGCGGGCTAGGGCTAGGGGACCGTGAATGATTCCCGGTGACTCGTAAGCCGCGGGTAAGCCTAAAGTGTAACAAGTGTATTTCGGATTCAACGCGTTTCATATTAAATTAAGAGCGAAACGAACCGGGAAAGTGGCGTACAGGAAGGTGGGGTCTCGGATTAGCTAAGTTTTTTCGCCTGTTTTCCACTTAAAAGTTATGAAATTAGAAAAAAGCCGCATGAATAGAAAAATGAATGAGCAGGGAAAATGGGAGAAACATAGGTTGATGGGTTATGCATGGTAATATTAGTATGGTAGGGATTTTTGTGGTATTTTTGATGTATGCTAGGATTAAAGCAAGCGCTTTAGGCTTTTAAAGGCAATCAAGTTGTATTTGTATTTGAGTATTTTTATAATATTTTCAGTTAGGATGTAGGGGAAAGGAAGGGCATCTACAAGTATTAAAATTATAAATATTCAGTATTTCAAAGCAAAACTTTCAAAGCAAAAAGAAAAAGATTTTTGACGGTCCCCGCCCCTAAAAAATTGACACATTTAAAGACATTGAAACAGCGAATAAACTCTTAACAGATTGAGATTACGAGTACGAGTATTTCCGAGTAGCTAATGACAACGAGAACAACATCAATGAAAACCAAAATTCAGGATTACAATTAGAAAACAATGAGAAAACGACGACGAAGGCAAAATACAATGGACGAGAATAGACAACGACGACTGTACCTAGTATCGTATCTGAAGGATGGGGGGATGTGGAATCAAAATTAGCGCCCATAGAAACTATGGAAGTCCAGGAAATCCATGGAATCTGTTTGATTTTGTTGCTGCTGATCGATCTACACGAGGGAGGAAGAATGTAAGGACAAAATACAGAACCGAAAAGAGGTAACCGAAAAGGAAATGGCATTTGTTGTGGTATTTTTTTGGCGGTGAGTTTGGTGGGTGAGATATATATTGTTTTTTGGAGAGCAGGAGAAAGAGAGAGTTATATATATATATATTGATATAATTGTGGTAGGAGAGTGGCAGAATATAATACAAAAATAAATGGTTTGGAATACAAAAGAAAAGTGTAAACAATTCTACGGCACAAGCACTCACCAGCTTCTTGAAACAGTCCTCGAAAAATGCGGTCATAGAGCGATAAAGGTGCCGCTTAACTCCCGACAAACTGTGGCCCTCATCTGGATAGATCTGCTGCTTGTAGAGCACTCCTTTGCTGGTCAGAGATCGCGCCAGGACCATCGATTGCTGGACATGAACATTGTCATCGGCTGTGCCATGGACGAGCAGGAACTGACGATCGCGCAGATTGTCCACATACTTGGACAGATCGCTCTCCTCGTAGCCCTTGTAGTTGTCCGTGACATTGGGAAAACTCAGATAGCGTTCGGCATAGGTAGAGTCTGGAATGATAAAGATTATCCTTACATCTCTAGGATCCTTAAAAGACCACAAAACCCACCGTATAGCTTCCAATTGGTGACCGGTGAAACACTTATACCGCACTGGAAGATATCCTGCTGGCCGGCGAGTGCCAGAGCAGCTGTATAGCCGCCGTAGCTCCAGCCCCAGACACCCATTCGTCGGGAATCGATAAAGTGCAGGTTGTCGCGCAGATACTCGCTGACCTCAAGCTGATCGGAGACCTCGACACTGCCCAGACGCTTGTAGACCTCGTGGAGCAGTTGGTAGCCCTGACCCGCGGAGCCGCGTCCATCGATCTCGACGACAATGTAATCCTTGCTGCCGGACAAATAGGTGTTCCAGTCGACATGCCAGCGATCGGTGACCAGCTGAGTGCCCGGACCCGAATACACATGCAGAATGGTGGGATATCGCGTGATTTCGTCCTCACGCAGCACGGGCGGCAGGTAGAGCCGCACCTGGGCATGATAGCCGCCGGAGATCATTACCGGGAAGGTCTTCATCTGCGGCAGCGCGGTCTTGGCCATTTTCTCCTTGAGTCGCGTATTATTCTGGATCGTGACGAGTAGCTCCAAAAACTGGGACTTGGGTTCGACGTCTGCCTTCTCCTCTCCGCCCTCCGTTGGGGGTTCCTCTTGTTGGGTGCTCTGACGGTTGACCTTGGAGCTCGATGGGATGGTCGACTTCAGGCCATAGATAATGGAGGTGGGAACGACGGGGCCCAGGCACTCGACAAGGACGTAGCGCGCCTGCAGAGTAATGGGAAACTGTGCCTCATGGTAGAGACAATCGCTGGGTGGCGGTGGCAGCGGTGGCCTCTGTCCGCGTCCGGGACGCGCCTGCTGCTCCAGAGGCATGGCCGGTGGCGGTGCCTGGGCCTCCACCTCCTCGGAATCCTCCCAGTCGTCATCCCAGGCCGTCACCAGCTTCGGCGGCGACTTGGTGTGACCCTCCTCGTAGCTATCGGAGCGCTGCATCAGGGCGGGACACGTGAGGCAGTCGGGCGAGTGCAGGGCCTGTCCCTGGCGGGCGGGCAGAGCGGATACGCGGTAGAGATGCTGCTGCGAGGGCAGACGCTCCGGAGTCCCCAGGAAGTAGCTGCGAGAAGTCAAACCGGGTTCAGTGGAATTCCAATCCAACCCTCCCTTCTACCGGAAGGTACTTACATCCAATTATCCAGCTGGTCCCAGTGTAACAATCGATTCACCTCGTAGGGGCCATGGGTGAGGGGCAGCACCCGGTTATTGTCGATGTCCACGTGCACGATGTGCCGGAAATAGCCTGCGATTATCGAGCGCCGGAAGAAGAGACGAAACGGAACGAAAGGGAAGGGAAGAGGCATTGTATTACCGGCACCTTCAACCGCTGGAACAAAGCGCAAATCCAAAAGCACCCAAATTGACATATGGCTCACTTACCAAACAGGCCATCGCGTAATGGAGAGATGGCCACATAGATACTCCCATTGGCCGCAAACAGTGGCACGGAGACGGTGTCCACCCAGCCGCGTCCATCGCCACTCACCCGATGGGTCTGCAAAGGATAGGAGACGATTGCTGGCTGGGGTCATTGGGTCATTTAGTGGTTTGGCGCAGCACTCACCTCAATGCACTCGAACGACGGGCTCTTGCACACACTGACCACGGATATGTTCTGGGGCCGATTCAGCCAGACCACAGCGATCTCTGTGCCACTTACCCAGCTGGCGCTGCTAAAGTAATGATCTCTGTAAAGGGTGGAGGGAGGAGGGAAAATTAGAGGCACGAGCCTTCAGGGGAACCTGTCTTGCATCCACTTACTCGTTTGCTATAATTTGCGGCGGTCGTAGGTTCGTGATGTGCACCTTCTTTGGATCCTTGAGGTCGGCCACCCGTAAAGTTATTGTGGGATTTTGAGTGCCTGGCTTTGGATAGCTGTTGGATATGATAGGAAGAGTTTTATTTTAAGTTAAGCTGCCTGTTTCTGTTGAACCATTCATTAATTTTCATCCACATTCTTGACTCGAACTAAACTTCTTTCCACATGCCCTATTTTCGGGCAGACCTTTTCTAGCAATTTATCAAACCCAATTGACAGGAGATCAACGAGGCTGGAGAACCCACACTCCCACTCCTACTCCCACTCTCTCTCTCTGCTGTTAATATGCTACAGACTGCTTAGGTGGCTATGTTGCTCTGTTGTTTTGTCTTTGGCCCCCGAAAACTAATTTCAGGGACCGAATCTGTCACTACGTCTAAGAAAAGCGAACGAGTGCGGGCTAGAGGGGTCCCTTCCGAAAAAGGTTAAAGCCACTGTCAGACATCCACCTGCCTGTGAAAAGGTTCAGCTCTTTTACTTCATGAATTTTAAGCATTGTGCTAGGGGGAGGCCATTAGGTCTAACGACAGTCACGAGAGAGAGCAGGGCATCATTAACACATAATCGAAAAGTGATATAGCCAAAAGCCCCATAATGGGGTCACGACTTACCGTAAGGATCTGATTTCCGGGTAGAGGTTGGCATACGGATTACTCCCCCCTCCCGACGACGACGAGCCACCACTTCCTCCGGGCGTGCCTGCGGCTCCGGCTCCGGCTGCAGCTGCTGCTGATGCAGCCCCACCGGATGGACCCGTCGTACCGTACCAGGCAAAGTGCTGCTCTTGGACGTGCGTGTCGTTGAAGGTGGCGTAGAGCATCAGTTGGCCAGTGTCGGACAACCAAATCGCATTATTTGCATGAAGGATTTCCTCTGCAATGCGAAACAAAGGGGAAATTGGAATATGTTTCCATGATACTCGTACTTCGATCGAATTATACTGTTCAGTGGACAGCATGGACTGTACCTTCGTACAGCCAATCGGGAATGCCATTGTAGACCACTCCGGGCACTGCGTCGTGGGTGATGCGATGTGCCGTGGTGCCGCGTGCCTCCTTCCTATAGTATATATCGTAGCTCTGCACCCAGACCAATCCATTGCCCCTGGGGCTGAAGCGGGCGTAGTGCAGATATGGCCATTCATCCTGGTGTGGACTGTGCCGCAGCTTGATGCTCTCGCTATCCATCGGATGGGGGGATTACAAGTTAAATTACCCTATAGATGGCCTCCTGCAATTGGACAGAGCACCACTCACCTGGTCTGTATATCGTAGAGCGTGTATTGGGCCAGATACGAGTGGCGGAATAATTTCACAACATTTTGGGCCAAGAGCAGGTAACGCTTGTCCGCCGATATGGTGAAGGTGAAGGGGGCCAGGGTTTTCTGTTCCGAAGGGGGCGAAAATTAAAATTGTATTAAAATTATGCTCCTGCCACACGCTGTGTTGCGTATACGCAACTTTTAATTAAAATTTTAATGGTCTTTTCGGATTCTCGCACGCAAAATGGCGGAAGTTTGTACGTGGCTTTTCTGGTGTCGCAAAATGTTCAAAATTTTGTGGCATTGTTTATGGCAATTGAATGCCAAAAGTTGCCACAGCCCCAGCTAAAGCCAAAGCCAAAGAGTTTTAGCATTCAGTAACCATATTCCTTTTCCAGATTGAAGTTAATGTTTGGCTTTCAGCTATTCATGGCTTACTCTTGATCCCCGATGCCCCGACGACAGCTCGACTACTCCTATTCCTATGGCCATGAATATGCAATTCCATTTTGTTCTTCTGACTGCTCATTTCCGCCCTTTTTCGGTTTCGGTGTTTTCGGGCCAGACATTAATTATTTTGCTCTCTGGCTGGCAGCTGTTGACTCAAGTTATTGCACTTGTTGCTGGTAGATGCATATTTGGCCCCTCGAGCTAGTCGAAATTCCACTTCTCCCCCATCGTTTCCCCAAAGAGAAACTTAGTCGCCTTTTCTCCTCCGCCTCTTGCTGCTTGTTTTGCCTTGGCTTTTTCTTTCATTTTCATTTGGCTGTTGCTATTGCTTTCGCTTTTGCTTTATTTGTTTGTTTTTCAATTTCAGCTCGCGCATTATTCATTTGGAAAACGTTTTACCTCCGTGCGGTAGTCCCTTTCCGCCCCCGCACTTCCTTTGCTTCTATCATATGTGTGTTTACCCAGTCATTGACATAAAAATCTTTTTGCCTTTTATCGTTATCGCGTTGGATTGAGTGGGGGGTGGAGGGGGGACTCCTCCCCCACACGCGATAACTTGGCCCATTTGTTTTGCCTACTTTTGTGCGAGCGCCATAATATCAGTTAACATTGCCAAGTCGAGTGTGTACACTCGAGATATGGCCAACCTCCTAGGACTACGACTACGACTACGACTACGACTGGGACTGCGGCTAGAGCACCTCCCTCTTCCCTAGAGCTCGTCGTAAATAAGACGGAGCAAATATTTGTACTTTCGCCGAGAGATAAGCAATAAGCAAACAAAGGCTATGCTTTGGCTAGGGTTTGAGGGCCTGGACTGGACACAAATGTACTTACAAATGTCACATTGGACATGAGGACACGTTCCGAGCGATTGGCTGCATTCAGCAGACAGATGCGACCCAAATGGTCCTGATAGAGGAACTCTTCGCCTGCAAAAAACATAGATGGGGAGCAGGGAAAAAAAAGTGGAAAAGCGGAAATTAAAAGCGATTCGAATGGACATCGTTGGGCGAATGATAGAACCCACCATCGATCCAGCTGCCGTTGGCGTGCTGCGGCATGTAGAGGCCATCGACTATGTCCTGCAGCTTGATGCGTTGCCCCTTGACGCGCGGTCCCTCATCGGGGGGCGTGAGCAGCACCTTTTTTGAAATATGTAGAAATTTTATATGTTGTTTTCTGCCCACTCACGCACACAGACACATCGACACAGATACATATACAGACGACACAGATGCAATTACAATTACAATGACACACACACACACGCACAAGCACACGACAACAAATGGACAACAAATGTGTGGGTGTGTAAAAATGTTTGATCAGGCAGCCACAAAAATTGCGAAAAAAATTGGGAAACAAACAGACAGGAGACAAAAAAGAACGTAACGTATTTACACACATAAATTTATCAGATTTTTGGTTTTGTTAAATATACACATATACATAAACATTTATATTTAATGGCAGTTTCAGTTTTCCCTCATCTTTTTTTTGGTGAAATAATTTCGGCAAGCGCCCAAAAGTAGGCCACAAAAAGTGTGCGTTGTTGAAATTTGCAAATTGGTTCCAATTAAAAAGGGAAAACTTTCACCAACCTTTTGTAAATTACAGAGAATTTGTTTTTGTTTTCTTTGAGGGTTTGGTTTGTACATATATTTAGAAATGAATAAAATAACAGAACACAAAAGTTTTGTACACCGATAAAAATAGCACTTCAGTGTGCATTTTTATTTGTGGGGAGACGTTCTATTTTACTCAGGAAGGTCCCTGTGATGTTGTAGCTAAGAGTATTTTTTGCTTCGCATTTGCTAGACATCTTCTTTTTCTAACGATTTTACCTCGACTTTGTGTATTTTTCTGTTGGTCTGCTGGTCAACTATTTGTGAATTTATTTTCTCTTGTTTTGTGTATTTTTTCTGTGTGGGGGAAAACTAATGGTAATTGTATTTTACATTTGTTCTATCAATTTTGGGTTTCAGCTTCACCGACATTTGTCTGTTTTGTCTGCAAATGAGATTGTGTTGGCTGGGAATCTAATTAAGGAGTACAGCCATTGTGTGTGTTTTCGGTGTACAATGTGCGGCTGATGGCCACCGCAACGAGCATTAAACAATAACCAAAAACCATGCTGTGAGATTGTATAAAATTCGAATGAGAAATGTGTTGTTGGGGCACTCACCACCGAAGTAACAATCAGGGCGAGGACAATGATGATGACCAGGAGGGCGATGAGGATGCCGCGCCAGTTCCGCTGGTTCGGATTGCTGGAGACCAACTGGAAATAAAGAGGGGGAATTAATTGAGAAATGATTGAATGCAAATGCTGCACATAAAGAGCACGTGCGGCTCATTACGCAGCGCCTGCCTGCCCGTCGAGTTATGAGGACCCCTATAAGGCTATAACAAACTGGCCGAAACCGCAAATAATTGGTTGGCCAAGATGCAATTAGCAAACTGATGATGATTCGGTTTTGTCTGGGCCATTGAACTCGGCCCCCATAAACTGTTCGTTCTGCCACTGAATTATGTCTGCCCCGCCGAAATGACTTGAATATACAAACCCACACGTACTCCTACTCGTATATTCCGATATAAAGACGTCCTTTGTGTGAATTTAGAATAGAACCCGAACGAAAAACGAAAAACCCCTTGGAAATCAACGCTTAATGCATATTTAATGTAGTCCAACCAACAAAAGAAATACAGAAAACCCGAGAACCCGAACCCAAAACAGAAGCACAACAACAAATTAAGCACGACACAAAAACTAAACTCGCACGCAGCCCGCACAAGTTGATACCGATTTTTATGGGGATCACACGAGTGTGGGGCATCGCCTGATTTCGGCCTAGTCAGTCCATCATGTCACCCACACAGTCACAAAACAATACAATACACTGAAACAGAATGCGCCATGCCAGTTAGCTGTGTAATTAATTAAGGACTCGTAAAACTATGCTGCTCTGCAGCTCTACTGTTGCTCTGTTTCTCCGTTTTTCTGGTCTGGTCTGGTCGCGCAGATAGTGAACAAATCGTGTGTATTAATCAAGAGTTGCGTGCCGCAAATTAATTGCGGGGACATTGCCAGCAACGCTCGGAGAAACATATTTCTCTATCAGTCGCCCGGATTTGTGATGCAAAATTATGATGGGGGATAAAGTGACAGAGTCCCAGAGGATGAAGAAAACCTTCAAGAAGCTAAGAATATCTTTAATATTCTTAAAAAGTAATTAAGCAGGGCTCGAACATTAGACAAAAGCCCACAAACCATCGATTTTCCCCAGCAGAACTTTCTTACGAGAGAGAGAGGAAGGACACAGAGGAAGTTCAATTAAAATCGCATAAATATGTGGTAGCTTCCCCTTTGCCCATTAGTGCATGAAAGCAAAGCGCGAATCTTAATTAATAACCCAGCAAATCTCCTTGCAAATGGAGGACAAATGCGAGGGAACATGTGTACCTGCGATATACACGCATCCCCTTCCAGCCAGCCAGTCAGGCAGCCAGCATGTTTATTTATAAGGACTCCTTTGTCTTGCGCCCTTCCACTGGAACGATCCTGGGCAGGGGCAGTACCACTCGGAATTTATTGCTGGCAGCGGGACCGGAGCGGTGCAAACAAACTGAAAACAACATAAACTAAACTATCAAACTACAATAGAGACCGCAGAGAGTGTTTTTTGGGGGAACATTCGCTTTGAGGTTGGGCGCTCTCTGTCTCTCTTTTGGGGGAACTTTCCATAAACCATCGCATCGGTTTCGAAAAGTTTCCATATCCACTCGCTTTCAGGCAACTTTCCATATCCCTTCGCTTTTCCAAGAATACCAGAATAATAATAATAATAATAACACGAGTAATGAGCTCTTGCGGGCGCATGCGGCGTATACTTCATTTTCCTTTAATTGAATGAGAATTTATGCTCTACAGGAGGGTCAAGCCCTGGCATATCATATCCATATTCCCATGCCTAAGACATTTACATACATAAGTGAGCAAAACACTCTCCTTGATTGCTGGAGAGAGTGAAGACTCTCTCTCTCTCTCCCGGTATGTAAATATGCAAAAATTGTAGCATAAATGAAATTTAAACACTCAACTTGATGAGTTGCTCTGTTAACGCTAAAGGAATTAAAAATAATGACAGTCATCAATTTTGCCAACGCAATGGCCAACATTCTGCCGCAAGAACTCAATGAGTTTATTTCCTGACATGACGCCCTGGAGGGATATTGAGGGACATGATGATGGCAGCCCATCCTGCCGTCCTGACATCCTTGGTAACAAAAAGGAAAAGGAAGAGCACATGCGAGCGCCTGCTATTAATTTCTATAAATTTTTAATGCCCTGCTATTAGGCTTTGAGCGTTGAGCGTACAAATATTTTTCAAATGAGAAAATTACAGCCTGAAGAAATAAGTTTAAAACAGTGCTGCTTAAGGCGAAGCTTTAGGGAAAATGTATAGGACGATTATTTTTCATATTTCAAGAGGTCAAAAGATAAGGAACTAATGAATGAACTGATCTCTCATCCATGAAGCGATTTTCTATAAGGCAGGAAGCCAGAGCCAGAGACTTTCTTTTTTCCATCCAGCAAAGGGTTCGTCCTCTTGGATCGTATTTATTGTCAACATACGAAATGTTTCCCACACAAAATACACACCATAAACCCTGTTTTTAAATCGCATTTAATCCCATGAGATAAATCATGAATTAAAAGAAAAAACCAATCAATAAGAAGACCATAAATAAGAGAACTTTACCAATTCGAACTCCACCCAAATATTTTCAGATTCCGGGCCTTCCAGAGATCCATTCCATTTCCCAGAACTGCAATAAACCAACGGATAACCCCTCCCAACCCTCTCCACCCACTGCCTGGGAAAACTTTGCGGCGTGAATGGAAAAATATTGTAACCAAAATTGCACACAATGCACCACCACTTGACATATGAAAATGAAATGCACGAACCGACCGTATGAAATCGTAATGGAAATGGATAGCGATTTAAGTGTACAAAGAAACCAGAGGGGAAAACTGTATGTCAGCGAGCACGCTACGGAAACAGTGGAAAAGAGGTAGCCGGAGAGGTAAAGAGGTTTTTCCCATTTAATGATGTTTGCCTGTGCGATTTTTCTCATTGTTTTCTGCTGACTTTCGGTTATCTGGGGATTTTGAATCAACATTGTTATCATTTCATTTTCGTTTGGATGGATTTCGTCCGGCTCCCCAGGGGAGGGAACAACACGTACACGGAAAAGCCAGGAGTTGATTAAATTCTCGGTTACCTGAGATTTAATCCACAGCAAACCAGAAATGTTCTCGTTTTTTCCTCTCTCTCTCCTGTTTTCCTGTTAAAGCCACCTGGGGCCGGCCCTGGCCGCAAAGAAGTTGCGGGGAAATTCAACTCCAGTGAAAAAGCTTAAAAGCAATGCTATACCCAAATGAAGTCTTGCCACCAGAGCTGGCCATGGGGCAGAGATAATGTGAAGCGGAGTGCTCACACAGATACACCGACACTGACACCGGCCCCGACACATATCCCGAGAGCAGCTAAAGAGCATTAGCTGTCTTTTGTGGTTGGTGCTCGGGAAAACTTTGGCTGCCTGCTCTTCGAGAGTGGGTGCAAAAAGTTCAAAAGAGGATGGATAGAGGATAGAGATAGGGTGAGCGATGAGATCCAGTAAAAGCCGCCAGTTATTTGCATAAGTTGTCATAGTTATTAAGCTGCGAGCGTTAAAATTCTTCCCCTCCATACTTTTAAGCGCATTCAAAATGGACGCCAGCTATCGTATTTGCAGGAGGCGCAAAGCGGTGTCGGGCAGGAAAGGAGTATCCCGCTGGCACAGTGAAAGTGTCGTTTTCAATTAACTCGGGCATGGGTTTTGGTCCAGAGACCAGATGAGGCAGAGGCCATGGTGGATGTTGGCAGAGTTAATCGTATTAAAAAGCAGCTGGTTCGCTTTGAATTGGAAAGTGACCTCTCACCTTAGAGGAGCGGCATTTAAGAGCCATCTCAACCTTGACAGAGATGGGACGCTAAAATTGTTTGCCTATCACTCAATGCCAATAAATTGGAAGCAGACTTATTGCACTCTGCGCTTGATCTTCGTTCCGTGGCTTCTGTTTTCCGTTTTCCCTTTTTCGTTTGTGAATATTCGAAAAAGAAAACCTTGAGCCCTGCACTGTCATTCCGTTTGCATCAGGGATAGGGGACAGGGGACGGGGGCAGACGACATTAGAAAGCAATCTTTATGGCCTGCTGCCTTCCTGCCAAACATGAAATCCATAAACAGTCCCTCAGCGTGTACGGACGATTGCAACAAGGATGCGGTGCCTGTCTGCATCCTTGTGTGTCGTCTGGCTTTCCGGCATGTCAGCCCTATTGTCTGCCACGGTCTATGTTCCTCTACCTATGTTTGTGCGAGGAGAAGTACTCTCCTATGTCCTGCCCGTCCCTGCGTGCCTTCCCACTTTATCTAGCATTGGGTGCCGTTGTCAACAGCAGTTTAGCTCAAGGCCATAACGGCACAGCATTTGCTATAACTGTCACGTGTGTGTGTGTGTGTCTGAGCCTGTGTGCCTCAGTGTCAACACATACTTGAGCTTCCATTACACGGCCATGATTGCTTATTTTTCTGTTTTCTCTTTTCACTTTTTCAATTTTTTAACCTGTTCCTGCAGGTGTCGCCGTGCCTGTCGGCGGTCGTTAAGTTGCATGAATTTGTCAAAAATAAAAATGTAATATGCCACACGGCTGACACAATTGAGAGCGATGTGTCGAGGGGGTTGGGCCACGACTCTGGTTTTGAGTTCAAGATGCAATTCCCGAGCTCTTTGGCGGAAATAATAGTTGCAGAATGTCTTACGACAGGTGTATGACAGTCGTGGATATTAGATTTCAATGAATTACAGAGTAATTAAGTAAAAGTTAAATAAACAGCGTGTACAAGTTTATAGGGGATGTTTTTTTCACGTATACAAGATTGATGTAAATAATTTGTGGAAGGGCGAAATCTTTCCAAGTATTTCTACCATTTGAAAAATTATACAACAGTCCAACAATGCCTATAGAAATCCAATTAAATCGAAACCTGCCACAATCATTTGCAATCCACCAACTGTTTGACGTTCATTGTACACTTTATCGCCACTTAAATGCACAATTGCACCTGTCGGCGCCCCTTTGTCATTATCGCAACAGATTGGCAGCACTTAACTAAGATTGGCAGCACTGTCAAAATAGATTGCAACGCCAACGCTCCCAAATGGAAGGGCAGGACTTTCTTCAGAAATTTGCGCATTATCCGTGGGGCGTCGTGTCGTTGGGCATCATCGATTCGTCGTGGATCGAATGCCATCTAATTGATTTCCGCTTGAATGCCTGATTGCCATTTTGACTGGCTGTTTATCTTTGCAACCGTTTCGACACTCCGAATTTTCAGTGTTTGCCCCGGTTTCCAGTTTCTGCAACACACTCCTGCAGTACTCCTCGCACTCTGTCATCACAGACAAACTTAGTATGCAAAGCACACATTACGGCACGGCACCCACCCATGCAATGCATAGCTAATTCAATTTTGCAATTGTTGTCAGCACTGTCAGCGCTTTGCATTTGAATAACATGCGGAATTTATTTCAATTAGCAAAGCCAGCCGCAAACTTGATGCCACTGAGCCGCAAAGTACGCTTCTGCAGCGAAGCGTGCGAATGGAATGGAAGTTGACCATCAAAGTCAGTGCAGACGAGGAAGGAAAGTGCCCGGGAGAGAGCGCTCAAGTTGCGAGAAGTCGTTGAGTGAATTTTTCCCTCCGCCTCAACGATGGCGGACGTAGACGCACTTACACAAGTTGGAATCAAAGTGAGTCGGTGGGGGCCGCCTGAAGTGGCGGTGTAAGAGCTTAGTCAGCTCTCTCTCTGGGAAAGTGGAGCTAATAATAAGCCCAATTGGGGAAGGTGGGTTTCCTTTCGTGCAAACTGAAAGGGATTTCCCAACGTGTCAGAGAATGGCTGGAGTTCATCAGTCACTTCTTTCCGAGTAGACTTCTGGCTAGCTATGCATTTTATGTGGAATATGGTAGGTAGTCTGATAGTTTCCGATTAATAATCGTTGAAGTACTTTTAAGGTGGCAAGTTAAAGTCTCAATAAAATTGTTGGTGAAACCGTTCAACCATATCTTTACGTCATTTCCCATTCCGAGTCTTTTCCCAGTCATTTAACAATCTGAAATTTTAATCCCTGCTTCCTGTTTGAATTTTGAATACTTTCCGCTAATCCAAAGGACCTATGTCATCCGGCACATGCGCGAGCACACGTAAACACACAATATTTGTTTTTAAAATTAATTATGCTTAATTATATTTGGGCTTAAAACATATGAGAATTTATTTTTTGTTCAGTCTCCCTTCTGCTTTCGTTTCGGTTCAGTTCGGTTAGGTTCCGTCGTTTTCTGGCTTTATGCATAAAGTATAACAAAAGAAATTACCTCATCATCGTAATTATCCTGCTCAGGCATGACTCGCTGTTTGTTGGCTTAAAGCGATGAATTTTACGGAAATCCGAGAGGGCGTTCCAGCCGGTTTTCGTCGGTGGTGGTCGTGTGTCAAGGCGGGGGGCCCGGGTACGGGTACGTCTGACAAATTAAAGAAGCCTCCGGTTGTTGTCTTTGTTGGAGATGTCGTCGTTCTCGCTCTCCTCCTCTCTGTCGATGTGTTTCGTTTACTTTATGCTTTTTGGATTGCTAATCGAATCTATCAATTTCCTTGGCCATAATTCGCCAGCGAGCTCTCTGTTAATTTGTCTTATTTTCAGAATTTATTGGCGCATCAGCTCGCTGAGGAGGCTGGCATCTTATTCAGTTTGTTGGCGGAATACCAGAAGTCACTTTCTAAGGCCTGCCGCTCTCGGTTCATGCTTTCGCGAAATACTTTCAAGCTTGTCCTTGACTTTTGCCAGCTGTCCTTCGGCCCATCTGCTTCCCCTTTGTGCTGCTGCCGGGTAATTATGACTGACTGTTGGTTGGTGTTGGTGCCGCTGTTTGACTTAGGAACTTGTCGTTTCGGGGATCCTTGTAATGCGCTTTTGCCGTTGGTTTTTCCTACCCGCCTTCTGTCTTCTGGGTCCTGAGTCTTCCTAATGAGCATACATTTTCAATTTCCCTGCTGCAGTCGTCGGCTGTTGTTTTTGGCCCTGTTGGTGTCTTTGTTGTTGGGAGGAGTCCTTCGCTCTGACACTAATGATGCAGCGTACTTTTAGGCCAAGCGCTAAATTGGAATAAAGTGTTGTGTTCGAGGGAGAAGAAGAAAAGAAGAAACACACACAATATTTTAGAAAATGCAGTTCTTGCTTAAACATTTCGTTGGCATGTTGTTGTTGGTGTACATTTTGTAGCTTGTTGTTGGTGTAGCTGTTGTTTTTGTTAGTGCCAATTGTTCTTTGTGTTTTAGTGGTTGGTACTTGTTTACGTTACTTTTTGTTAGTGTTGTAACTTTTCTTCTGTTGGTGTAGTTATTGGTGATGTTGTGTTTTGGTGTTGCTTTCCTTTTGTTGTTAGTGCCAATTTGGTGGGTTGGTGGTTGTGCTTTTAGCCTTGTAAGTGCTCTCATGCTTGTGCTGTATGTGTACATTGTGTGTGTGTGTGTGTGCTATGTGTGTGTTAGTTAGATGCATATGTATGTGCTGGTGCTTTTATAACATGACACATGTTTGCTGCATATTTTTGGGCTGCTTATGCAGTGCATATGTGTGTCAGTGGCACACACACACACACACACACACGTTTTGTATGTCGGTTAAGTAGTCTGGTGCTTAAATATATTTACATAAAACAAGGCACATTCAAAAGTTTCTAATTACATGTACTGGGGGGAAATATGGCTTTGACTTTGTGTTTTGTTGGGCTATTGTTGGTGTAATTGTTGTGTGCATACCACATGCGTGGGAGGAGGTGGTAAAACCTTTAAAAACTAATCTGTTTATTATGCAAAATGTTGATGCATGCAGCGAAGGAGAGGGAAGGAGTTGTGGTATTCTGCAGACACTTTAAACATGACTGTGTTTTCTTATGCAAATTTTAGCTCTTGCTAAAGTCAGGGTGCGGGTGTTTCGTGGCAAGGGGCAAGCCCCGAGTAGAGTGTTAATAGCATAACATTTTCAATTTAAGTTATGGCAAGTTTTTTCTTCGCTCCTGCTTCTCTTTCTAAGCAGCTTATTATGCAAAATGCATGCCACACACCAGCACACAGTACACGACGGATAAAGGGTCTAGGTGGCATAATATTCACAGAAGGAGCGATGGTTGGATTACAGTCTGGGGTTCGTTGGGATGAAAGTTTAAAGAAGGGGAGTTTGATAGATAGTTACACATTTCCGTAAACATAAACATATACCTCGTTGCCTGCCCAAAACTCAAGAGGATCTGAGTCCCCATAATCCCCAAGTAAAGAAAAGCTATGTTCTATCTGCGAGAGTATAGCATACGTATAATTACACCAAGCTTTAGCCTTCATAGTGCACTGAGGAAGACAAATGATACCGAAATTGCTTCACAATCCACTTTCCTGTGCTTCCCGCCTTCCCCAAGCAAAAAAACAGAATGAAACTTGTCCCCTAAGCGGGGCTTTGGCTTAAATAGCCAATGACACACACATAATCTACAATAGCAGACAGAGGGTGAGGTAGAGAAGAAGGCAAAGAGAATAGAGTCTGTATTTATTTGTTAGCCGTTCGCCTTAGTCATCTTTAGGGAGCATTCACTGTGTGCGCTCTCTGGTCTTTAGAACGCATTACAATGCACAAACTTTTAGCCATTGTCGGGGCTCTTGGCTTTGGCTTTCCCATGAACCCCAACACTCCCCAAAAACGTCAGAACTACTATAAATTAAAACGAAAAAAAGGAAGTATGAGCGAGTATGTATATAAGAAAAGAAAACAATTCCCATACAAAATATTACTCCTGGGAACAATGGGAAATATTTGATATAGCAGTCAACATAAATTTCATTAATTTTTACGTAGCCAAAATTGTTGGGTGAAGTTTTTTCTTGTGTTCCTGGTTCGTTTTTCCTGAGCAGCCAAGCGGCCAAGCTTTTATTGTTTTCATAAAAATGATTTTCCATTTTTTTTCCCCCTCCCCCCCCCCCACCAGACAATGTAGCATTCAAAAAATGCCATGCAGCAGTGGAAAATAAAGCAAAACCATTGCATATTTGGGGGCATACAGAAATTGTGGAGTATCTGCTGCTGACCAGAGGAGACAAAAGGGGCATATACGAGTATTTCCAACCATAAAAAGCATCCCCCGTGAAACATAAAGTATATCAAACAAGTGGAACTGCAACGGAAACCCTATGTTCTGCTGATGGGAAAGTTGTGTATTTTTTGTGGGTACAAGCTGCCAACATTACCATGAACTAAAGTGTGATCTAAGCCATTAAGTGTGCTCCAACGCTTGGCCCCAACTTGCGTCATAAAGCCATAAGAGCCACTCGTGGAAGCCGAACTACGGATGGAACTGCCACAAGTGATGGTTTCATAAACTAAACGAGCCGCAACATGAATATGTTGTTAGGTATATCCCCGTATACGAGTAGTAGTCCCATAAAAAAATTGAATCAGTGAGGCTCTTTGGAGAAGTTAAGTTATAGATGGAAATATTCAATAAATTAAAAATTGAGTTGTGGCACAAAACAATTGAAAAATTGCATTCAATTGAACTTTCCAGGCGTATCTGTTGCATAAATTAGGAAAACCTTTATTTTATGCAAGGCATTTAAATGTTATTTATGATGCAACCATTCATAAGCTCAACATTCCCACATTTCCACAGATTTTCCTATTTTTATTTTCTCTGCTCAAAATAAAAGTTATTCTTTCTTCCTCTTCCTGCCCGAACCGAAGGACTCTTGTATTTTGTTATCAACATGTTGACATTCGTTCGTGTGCTGCTGCTGCTGCTTTCGCCTCTGACATTTATTGTTTCTATCTCTCTCTCCCGTTGGCTGACTTCCGGCCCGAATGCAGCCGTGCGTAAGTCGCTTCCGCTTGAGAGCCGAGTGCCGTGGCTGCTGCTGCTGCTTCATAAAGTGCTACGCAAACGGGGCAGGCAGAGCCACTCGCATTGCACCGCATCGCACACTCGTATATCATTGTCATATGTGTGTATTTTCGTATCATTTTCATGGCATTTTCTAGAGAATTCTAAATTTATTGCTCCAATGAAGCGGCAAAACATCACAGCAGAGAGACACGCAAATCTACAACCATAAAGCATATGAATTGTTTGATTATATTAAAAGAAATCCACTCTCCCTCTCTCGCAACTGAAAAGATAACCCAAACTGTGTGTTTCGTGGAGATATTTTTTCACTTTTTGGGAGTTGGGGGTTTGGGGTTAGGGAAAATCAATTGCAGCCAAACAGCGCCGGTTATTCTCTCGCAGTGAGAACGTGTTGCACCCAAGCAATTTGTGAGGACACTTTTGTGGCTTTTGACGTTGCCGCCACAGTCGATGGTGGTGGTGGTGCTGGTGCTGCTTCTGCTGCTGGTACGTGCCACTTATATGGCATGGACCCTGGTCCCAGCAGTCAGCCCCATGCTGCACGTAAGCCGTAAACGTTTTTGGTGGATTTGTGTGGCGTGGCTGTGGCGGTGTGGCGGTGTCTGGGCTGTACGACAGTCATAATGTTTCATTAGTGGCTGGTTCGCCGCTCCTTGACAGCGAATCGCTTGTAGTTGTTGGCTTCCCTGGAGGATACAGGAGAGGAACGGATAGGTGTAGGAACTGCAATCAACTTGAAAGTTGGCCAAAGACTTTTGCGGTAATCATGTTGCCCGCAGAAGCTGCCAAAGGATCTGATTGAATGCATGTCAATCATTAGGTTGTGCACAAATTTTTTGAAGTTTCCGTTGGAGAGTATATTTCTGCAGGAAAAATCCATATTAAAGTGTATCTAAACCTTCGTTGCGCAGCATTACCCTTTCTTTTCTGTTTATCAACACTTACACAGTACTACGTTCTGCCCCAACGACACTTCAACAACGAAATATTGCGTAGCATAAAATTAGGCGGGGATCATTAAATGGGGCAAGGCAGTGGCACTGGCAGTGGCGGTGGCAACTCTTGCTTCCGTTGGCGTCCCCAATGCGACAACAGCCTCCACCCTCACGGGGCCCGATGGCTACGACGGTGGTTGCACATTAGTTTTAATGCATGTTTCATGCGCCATTAGGCTTAATTAGTGGCATTCTACCACCCACCACACACAGCACCCAGCACCCAGCACCCACCACCCAGAGTCCCCTCTCCTTCCAGACTCCATTCCCCTCTAAATGAGTTTCACTGTAGCGCCGGTGGAGGTCAATGGGGTTGGGGACATGGTGGCGATGGTGCAGTCAAGCTTTAACTGCCTGTCGTTTGGCCTGCAATTTTTGTTATTGTTGCTGCACGTTGCATACAACACTTTTAATGCAGCAGCCATACATTTATTTTAAGGCCACGTACGCACACATATTCACGTACGGAGGAAAAATTAAGATTTAATTAAGAAAAATAATAAATGCTTTTGGCTTGAAGCGACGCAGAGCAGACTCGACCCGGCTTAAAGCAGAGCCAAATAAATTGTCTCTTACGGCAGGACATGAAAAAGACTGCGCGCCTGAGCCTTTGGTAAGCCCTGAAGGCAGCTCTACTTTCATTGCCAGGGCCATTCATTCCCTTTGCCATTTCCTCTCGTATTTCTCCGAAAATTGCGAGCAACAATGCCCGAACCGAATGCCAAATATACTCGTGGTACAGTAGATGTCCGCCCATTGCCACTGGCATTCGGATTGTCCTTCAGATTGAAGTGCCTTTCCCTTTCTGTTGCTGGTGTCGGAGATGAACTTTTGGACACTCGTACGAGTGGATGGTACTTCTACAATAAAGCCATGCTTTTTGTGGAGAAAGTTTTCAAGGGACTCCATTATGTCTAAGTTTTCTTGGGCGGAGGAATGCAAGAGTTGAAGTCTCAGTATAACTCTTTCCTAATAAGAAACTCTCTCAGTCAATTAAGCCTTTAATATCGAATGCATCTACCTACTAAATCTCTTCATAACTCACATTTTTCCCATAACATTTTTCCACTGGTTTGAGTAAAAATTTCTCTCAAGCCACAACCCTCTCGCCAGTCTCGCAGCAACATGAACTTATTTACTACGATATATTCCAGCTGATTTGGCGGCTCATCTCTGGTTGATTCGAGATACTTCCGCCGAATGGCGCCAA